CCAATGATAGCAATTTACCTCGAACCTTAGGGAACCTATGCTTAAGAGCCTTAAAATATTCATCCTCAGACTTCAAAAAGAACACAACTTTACCAGAGCCAAAAGTTTTCACCTCCAGATGGTAGGATGAACTCCATCCTCTCTTAAGCCCAATCACTTAGGCTCAAAATGTCATTGCATGGAGGACTGAAAGACCCAACAATCTATAAACAAGCCCGATTAATAGATGCCCCAAAAATTTTAAGATCAACATGCTAGGATGAGAATGACTCGTCTCCTTCCTTCACAACATCGCCCATTGTCTATGACAATTTGTACCACATGCTCTTACCTAATGAATTCTAAATCTCATCCATTAACTCACCAAAGTGGCATCATTTGACTTGTTTAATGCATCAATAAACTTCAAAAAAGAGTGTCATCATCACTGTCTAGACTTTTTCCCAACTAATTGGGGTCGGCTACATGAATCCCGGTCCGTCATTCTGCTCTATTAAGGGCCATACCCTTAGTGAGGCCATAAGTCCTCATAACTTTTTTCACTACTTCCAACCATGTCCTTTTGGGCCTACCCCTTGCTTTTTTTTAGCCTAACGCTTGAACTAACTCACACCTCTTAACAAGTATTGTACTGGGTCTGCGCCACACATGGGCAGCCCACCTAAGTCTACTCTCTTTCATCTTTTCGCCTATTGGTGTCGCACCTAAATTTTTTCAAATGTATTCATTTTGAATTCTATCCCTTCTTATCTTGCCACTCATCTATCTAAACATCCTCATCTCCGCTACACTCATTATGTGGGTATATTGCTTTTTGACCGCTCAACATTCTTCCCCATAAAGCAAAGCTGGTCTAAAAAACGAGTGGTCTTTTGGGCAATTGGCCAAAAAATTGGTAAATACATGAGACCTCCCATTTGGCCATCTATCACACACATAGTTTCAAAAAGTAGACCGCCTAGTGCCTAGGCGGTCAGTCCCTGGGCAGCCGCCCAGAGCCTGCACCCCACTTAGAGGCGGAAAAAATGAATTTTTTTTTTTTCATTTTGTTATTTTGAAAGGTTTAAAGGTTAAGAATGATGGCTTTTACGTTCATTTGAACCCTAAACCCACAAGAAAACCTCCAAAAAACTACATTTAATTGATTTGATCATCGAATCATCGAAGTGTTTCTCAAAGTTTGGAGTTTAAGCAACCAAAGTAAGTGCATTTTTAGATTGCTTGCTTTATTTTGAGATGTCTTCTTTAGGAGTTAGTCGGAGTGGAGATCCAGGTTGGAAATAGGGATACAACCCGAATCCAAATGACTAAGATATAAAAGGAGGCAGCTTAAACCGGTTTAAGAAACATCTTGCCGGTATTAAGGGGGATGTTGCCCCTTGGAAAAACGTTCTTGAAGCTGTCAGAGAGGAGATTAAGCAATTTTAAAATTATGTAAAACAAAAACAAGAACTAAATCCTTGTCATATATCTATTTCTGCTACTATTAGAAAACGTGATCCGGGTTGGAAGTATGGATAACCCAAAACCAAATGATAAAAATTGTATAAGGTGTAATTTTTGTGAAAACCATACCAATGGGAGTATTAGCCGATTCATAATACACCTTGCTGGTGTTAGAGGTAATGTTGTTTCTTGTACAAAGGTTTTGAAGCATTTTGAGATGAAATTAGACATCTTTTGAATTTTGCAGAACCAAAAAGGTTGAAAATAAGCCTTGTTCTATGGAAGTATCTTCTCCAATTTCTAATCGTCGGAGTGGTGATCGGGGTTGGAAGTATGGTTATATCCCGAATCCAAGTGATAAAATCGTATTAAATGTAATTCTTGTGGAAATGATACTAATGGGGGGCATTTTCCGGTTTAAAAAACACTTTGCCGGTATTAGGGGAGATTTTGCCCTGTGTAAAAATGTTCTTGAGGTTACCAAGGAAGAAATTATAAAATATTTGAGTTCAAAGAAACACAAAAAGAAGGGTACAGCAGCCAAGACTCATAGGGCCTCATCTGCACCGACTACACATACTAGTAAAAGGAAGGTAGAAGAAGAGGAAGAGGAGGAAGAGGCAGATTCAGAAGAAACAGAGGAGGATGAGCGTTATATTGAAGAGGGAGATGACTCTGATGATGATGGCCTCGACTCTGATGCATATGATGAGGCTTGCGCTATTGATATTCCTTATGATGATGATGATGATTGAATACTCTTGCCTCTTTGTGCTGAGTGTTGAGTGTTGAGTCTGTTGACTGTTGTGTAACTTGTGTTGAGTTATGAGTGTTGACTTTTGTTAGACTGTATATTTTCTAAATTTTTGTATATTTCTGTTTTGTTGAATGTTGACTTTTATATGACTTGTATGGTTTTACAGTTTACTGTTTTAACAATATGGATTATCAAAATTCTCTTCTCAACTTTTATTTATTAGTTTTTTTTTTTTCTTCAAGTTGGATTATTGGAATATGGTATATTGGGATTTTTTATTTTTTTTCAACTAGGCAGCCGCCCAGGTTCTAGGCGCCTACCTAGCGCTTTTTGATACACTGATCACACATGATGGTCACCCCATACTTCTCCCACCCTTCTCTTTGAAAACTCAAAATTTTCTTCACATCTTTCATTGTGTCCTTCAAAATGGGCACCCTAAGCTCATGAAATGTAGGGGGTTGAGTCTAGGCCTAATTGTCAATTGCCTCGAGGCCCTCGACCATAACCTTGAAGCTATTGTGTCAATACGGTATTGAAAGGAATTTCGGCTTGGTAAAACCACTTGGTGGTGTATTTGCAAACCTTATTTGTCTCTTGCATCTATTACCAAGTGTAGCCTTTTTTGTTTTTGCGTCCTATCCTCCACTGCAATCTTGGGGTCAAGGGTGCAAAAAACATCCATTGGTCCCTTATGGAGAGGTCGTTTTTGCCCAACCTTACCACCAAAATTTATATCCCTATCCCTTGTAACCCTTGCTTGTTTCCAACTTCAAAAACATCTTCGTCTTCTACATCATCAAATATCTGAATTTCATCCAACAATTCTTTTTGTTCCATTGCATTCTTTTCTTTTTGAATTTTTTTTTTGCCACCTACATGTGCCTTGATCTCTATTCTCATTGGTCGCTTGTGGGCATGCACTAACAATTCCCGATAATGTACCGGCAAGAAGTTCATTTTTCCGTAAATACCCCCATATTAGTACTAGCTTGCTTAGCAGAGGCTTGAACTTCCAATAGTTTAGAGGGCTTTGTTTGCTTGTTGCTACCACTGGTGTGGCAAAGGCATAAAATACATAGGTGTGAGTGCATTGATCTGTAGCTTATCCAAAGCATCGCCACTGGTTTGGCTTTGCTCTTCACTTTAGAAGGTAGAAGACACTTCAATTTGATTTTTGTAGTTTTTTTATTTTTTATTTTTTTGTAGTTTTTATTTTTTTGTTGCAATGTCAAAGCGCTCACTAAAACTCTTACTTTGTTGAGCAAAGCCTTTTTGGATTGTACATTTAAGATATGGTTGAAGAGTGCTTTATCTAACCTGCAGAACACTCTTCAACCACAACTGAGCTTGTTGCCACCCTTAAAAGCACTCTAGAGGGCGTTTCTGCCTCTCCAATGCTCCTGTTTAGCCTGTTCCAGTCTTCCTCAATGGTTGAGATAGCTTGTTTTTGGCACCAACGCTTTTAGTCCTGTTTGAAAGTCCAAAGGCACGTCAAATGAACGTAACATCCAAACCAAAGTAAGGATGAATTATGACTTTTAGCTACTTGTCTGAAAGCAGAAACTCTACCAGTTAGCAAACCAACTCATTCAATTGCAAGTTAAAGGCCCTAAAGGGCCTTTGCGCATGGAGAGCATGGTCACCTGGTGGGTGGGTAGGACTACATACTTCATCTTTCTTTAGGGGCATCCTTTATTTCATAAAAAAATGCCTTGCCGAGAAGTTTGGGGCCAACTGTATTGCTGTAGCATGGAAAATGTGCTGCTGTACTATGAGCCCTTTAGAAGCAAGAAACGAGGCCGTTCACAACCAGCATAGTCCTGATTCAGCTACCATCTGGCATGAAACCTAGCATACACTGTTGCTTTTGTGAAACCTTTCTAACATAGAGTATAGAAAACACCATTTCGGTCACTTGCGGTGTTGAGTTTCAAATATTTCATTGCCAGATTCTTGTTAGTCGACGAGGATGAATGCCTGTTCCAAAAAAAAAAAAGTATTAATAAATGAAAGGATACCAAAAAGTTGAAAGAAATTTTGATTTCTACTCAGCCTTGATTACTTTGGCAAATCCTCGCCCAAAAACTCCCAATGCCCAAAACAATCTCAAGTGATTGCCCAAAGAATCCCCATATGTTTTCTGAAAATTTTGGATTCAATAAAAAAATATCGGTTCCAAATTTTTTTATTTTATTCACTTAGAAGGGTCTTGTAGGGGGTATGTACACCCCATGCCCCCCCAAAAAAAAAAAAATTGTTTGAAGGTTCTTTTTTTGCTGAAAATTTGGAATTTCTTTGGATAAGACACCAATAAGATCTTGAGCATTATAAGAATGCAAAAGAATTTTTGGGTGGCCATTGAGAAAAGGCATACCAATGATAATGACTGTGGGTTGTAAGAGCACTGTAGCGAAAATAGAATGACAGAACCCAATCGGTCCTGGAATACTTTGATGACATGAATGTCTTGCAAAACAATTAGTGGGGTGTGGCAAGTCAATATTGATTGGATTTAGCAACTTGAATTTGGTGGCGTTTTATGTAGATTTGGGGTTTTAATTGTCTGCCGTTGATGCGCCTGAATTAATGTCCAGCAATATAGTAGTTTTGCTTTTAGGTTAACTTGGTGCCCATAAGGTTAGCTTCTTGCATATACGGGTTTCAACAGCAGTGCAATGTGTTTTATGTTCTGCCATTTTTCTTGTTGATGAGTGCTGTGTGTTTCTGTTTTTCTTTTATTGTAATCCTTGAAAAGGCCCATTATAAGTAATGATGGAATTTCAAAACCATGCAGGCTATTTGACAGAGGCTGTTCAGGATGTATATAGAACTGTAAGGTATAATTACCTTCAAATTATGTTGCATAGGTGCTGAGAAGTGATGGCCACCCCTATGTGTGTCGTATTCAGATTGTTCTTCAAATGCAACATTCTACTCTGTTGATGAGGCTTTACTTTTCATTGTTTTTATTGCCAACTTACATTATGATTAAGAAGATATAGTTTGTTATTTTTCATGTAGTGTGAGCCCAACAGGAACTCAATTTCTCCATGCTTCAAGTGCTGATCATCAACCACCTCTAATTTTGGTTCTGACCCATGAAATGGTTGAGGAAAACCAAACTGGTGAAAATCCAGTTAAATATGAAGGAGATCTCAATGACCTATCTGCTCTAGAATGTCAAGGACTTACAAAGGTTAGATTAGTCCATCAACAAGCTTTTTTACGTTGCATATAATTTTATTTGTTTCAGTGTTACGTACTTTTCACATTTTACAAATTGAGATTGTTTTGAACACTCTGTGCTTCTTTATATTTATCTTCTCATCGTTGTGGAGGCCCTTTAGGGGTATCCCTCTCTTTACTATGCTGCACATTGCGAGTATCCATTCACCGGATTTTAGTTGGTAGATGGAATATTGGCAATTATTATTGTCATTTATCGTGGGAAAAAGTTTTTATAAGGTTGACCCTTATATTGTAGAATTAAGGTGCACCTCAAAAATCTATTGGGAAAAGGCCATTTTGACGTTGGAAAACTATCTAACTGATCATCCTGAAGTCGAGATGTATGGATATGGGGGAAAAAAACGATTTCAAGTCCCCAAAATAGTACTTCTTGCAGCACATTATTTGAACCGTTTATTTTCAAGATTTTCATGTGTTTATAGATCTGCAGAATTTGACCCATTTTTGGAGTTTAAATGTAGCTTAAATAAGTGTGCTAGTAGACATGTTTATTGGTATTAAATGCACTAAAATCCCAAACTTTTGGGAACTACATTTTCGGACCACTCCCTCAATTTCTATACCATTCCCATAGGCACTGGATAAAGAGATGACTTCATTCTCTATGCTACTGCATTGAGTTTTTTTTTTTTCTATCGTGTTTGGTTGTTCTAGCTATGTGTGAGTGGGTGGTTGGGTTGGTGGGGGGCTCGGTATGTGTTTGTCCATGCATATTATTTAGTCGTGGGAGTTAGGTTCATGCTTTGATGCCTATGACATGATCCTTATGGTAGAAATTAAAGATTAGCAAAAGCGAATTAAAAAGAAAAGGAATAAGGTAGGATGAAAACATTTTTTATCTATAATATTTTTCTCACGCAATTGTTTCATTCTTTTGTAATATGTATGACTACAATAGCTAGGATAAATAAAATCATAGTGAAAAAAGTCATGTAACTCATGACATGATGAGGATAAAATATTATATTTTCGAAATTTTAAGAATTGCATTTGTATTTATTTGGACTATCACTATCTTAAGAAAATTTCTAGGACAGAAGTACCAGCATATTAGTCGACATAGTTAGGCTACCCCGGGTAAGTAAATTAGAGACTTGAGGCACCTGGAATTTTACTAAGTCTCTCGGCATGAAATGCGGTTTCTTTGATTTACACTAACTTTGGATGCAACTTATGCCTTAATCATTGCATAGTTAGCATTCCAACAAAATGCAGCATTTGCGAGTGGGATGAAAACTAGTATTTGCAGTTTTCATCTCCCTCACAAAAGTGTGGCTTTTATTTATGTCCTTGAGGTTTCAAAATTGCCCCCAAAGGGACCACTTAATAACGAAATCGTCAATCAACAGTGCCCAAGGATGGTTTGTGACAGCATGTAAGGTGAGATCAAACAAGTCTTTAAATTACCATGGAAATCTACACATCCATGACAGAAAGCGAAGTTTGACTTGGAACTGTAGTTTTTGGAGGGAGGTCACTATGGAAGTTGCTACTACATTCCTGACTCTGCTTCTTCTATGCATTTGTTCTTCTCATTGTTAATGGTACAATTATCGTTCTTTTCCAGGATGAGGTACATCTCTACCACAAGCTTCTTGATTTGCGGATGAAGTTGGCACGAAATGTTGGGACAGCTCCGTAAGTTGACATTTAGGTTGATAAATGTGAAATTTGAAGTTTTTGCTTTTTTTATTCTGTGTTCACAGTCTTATTTTTCGTCCTATCGCCATTGGTATGTCCTTGTCTGCAGATATGCTATATGTGGTGATCAAACCATTCAAAAAATTTCAAAAATAAGGCCATCAAGCAAGGCTAGACTGGCAAACATTGATGGTGTCAATCAGGCATGTCTGTTATCCAATAAATCCATTATTTCCAAATTAGCTTGCTGAAATTTTCTATTAACTGTATTACGACACACATGGCGGGAGGATGAGTTTGTCTGCTGATTGGCTTGTGCAAAAATAGTAGCCGTCCGTATGTGAATTGGGATAATCAACATTATGGTTGCCTCCGCAAGAGTTGTTATACTGATATCGTTATATGTCTGAGTTTCATCTTTGGTGCCACTTATGGAGTTTTAAGCCTACTTAAGTTTGCTGAAAATTAGAACATTGTATATTGTCGGTAGGAATTGGCAAACTTCTAATGACTTGACTGATTAGGCAGACCATGAATTGGATAGATCCTTTTTTTTCCCATTTTCTGTATGTCTGTTTTTTGTGTCCATATTTGTTAATTATTTACTGTTTTCTCGCTAGCAGCACCTGGTAACAACATATGGGAATCATATCATCGAAAGTATTTGTCATTTGTCACAAGAATTGAAGCTTTCTTTGAATGGTGAAGAACCAACACTGATGGCAGTAGCACACAAGCCATATCCAAGTACCCAAAAAAGATCAAATCCAGCGAAGGTTGAGGCATGGAGAATGTGGCAAGAGCATGGTCTTTCTTTTCAAAAGATTGCTGTATGTCATATTTTAGTGTTTTAAAGTATATCCAGTGTTCATCTCATTGCTTCCATGTGGTTTATTTATCCTAATTAGGAAGTGTGACCTTATTATCTGTAAATGATATTGTGTTGAAGAACTTACCAGAGAGGCCGGCACCTATACAAGAACAGACTGTTATTTCATATGTTCTTGAAGCTGCAAGAGAGGGGTATAAAATCCAGTGGAGCAGATTTTGTAAGGAAACTGGATTGACATGTGAAATTTTCAAAGACATTCAACTTGCTGTTGCGAAAATTGGCTCTAAAGAAAAACTAAAGCCAATTAAGGAAGAGTTACCTGAATCTGTGAGTGATCTTCTACTTCAGAAATAAAAGAACTTATTACCTACTGTACTTGAGTTGCAGACTCCTTAATTTAACCCCACTATCCACTATTCTCTCCTCCTTATTTTCTATCTCAACTTAAACCTCTGCCTCTATAATCTCCAGAGTCCTTCAGAGCCGCCATTGTCCCCACGCACCCCCCCTCCCCCCAAGAAAACAAAAATCGAAAATAAAATTAAATAAAATGCATCTATAATTCTTTACTTTCTTTTCTTTTCTTTTTCCTGGTAAGTAGAAACAAATTATTTATCTAAAACTTTATAAATACAGGTGACATATGTCCATGTCAAGGCATGCTTGACAATGCAAGAATTGGGGCTATCAGCAAACGCTATATTAGATGTTCCAGAGCTACGTGAGGATCATGCAACAACCAAAACAAGAGTGTGCAATAAAGAGGATATAGTCAGAGAAAATTTAGTGCTTGATTTTTCAAATATAGATGGTGAAGAGCCTTCTGTTTCTCCAAGAGTTACTGAGAACAAAGAATTAACTAGGCATCGAAAACAAGCCTGTGGAAGTGACGCCCCAATCTCAGAAAAACCAGCAAAACTGCGACACGTGGACATTGATGAGATATCACGGAACAATAGACACAAGCCCGATGCAACCATGGACTCTGTGCTTGAGTGGATTGGAAGCCATAATGGAGTAAGCTTCCATTGCTTAATTTACAGGTTGTGGGCCTTATTGAGTGCTTCACAAAATGCAACAACATTTTCAGAAAATGACGGTTTCCTATGCCTTGCTATTTCATTGTAGGTGGGTCTATCAGATATCCTTGATCACTTTAAGGGATCCAGCAGAGAATCAGTGGCTGCAGTTTTGAATGGACTAGAGGGTGAGTTCTTAATTTATAGAAAGGGTGAATTGTACATAGTAATGTAAGCATTGTTTGTTCTTACCTAATTTATGCTTGAAGAGCTTCCCTTGGCCCTTGGAATCATGTTGTTTCTACTTGCAGCTTTAAGCTTGGCTGAATTGTGTTTTATGAATTATGATTTTCAGTCATTTATGTATATAACTTAAAACAAGACTATTTATTCCATTATATTGTTCATATGAGTTATATATCATTACCTAATTTATGCTTGAAGAGCTTCCCTTGGCCCTTGGAATCATGTCTGTTTCTACTTGCAGCTTTAATCTTGGATGAATTATGTTTTGTGATTTTTAGTCATTTATAAATTTATTCCATCATAAAGTAGCGGCTGAGATCAAGAGCAAATGATATAGAGACCCATTCGAGTCTCAATATCAACAAAGAATCTTCCACTAAAGCAAGCCCGCATTTCTTATTACTAGTGAGATGAACCTGCTTCTCAGGTCTCATTGAAAGGTTATATTCATGGTCATAATCATATGAGCCTTTTTCCATCTATTAAAAGACAACATCAAAGGTCTTTGGTTTTCTCTATCTATATTGACATTGTATATCATGTCTCTCCTAAAATCTCGCTCCATAAAGATCTCAATTATATGTAACTATTATGTTATATATATGATATTTATTATATTATGGGATTCTCTATAAAGAGATCATTTATCTTTTGTACATGGAGATCACAATCATTTCTATTAATTAGATGTCAAATTGGATGGTTTGGTGTGAGCCACAAATTCCCATAAATTTTAAGATGGTGTAGGAGTGGCATTGAAAACCACTCAATGATTGTAACTTCTATGTACAAATGATAAACAGTCCGTTTGTAAATAATCCCTTGTATAATATATATATATATATATGAGCAATGATCCAATGCAACGACACTTCTAGAAAACCATGTTTGTGGTACTTGTATGACTTCAAATTTTGCACACACTCTTCATCTAAATGATCAATCCCAAAGAAAAAAAAATTAAATTTGGACCTTGGATATGGTCAAAATGAGTCCCCTCCAAAAATGAATCTAGACCATACATTTTGTGAATTTCAAGATCTTAGCTTTTATAAACTCAAAATCATTTTTTTTTTTTTAACATTGTTCATCTAATGATAATAAAGCCATCCAAAAAAATTAGAAATGAAAAAATCCTTCTAAGATTTAGATCTAAACATCTCACCAAAATGAACGATCTATGTTAATTGGGCTAAAAAATACTTTTTAAGTTGTGTTTTCAATTTTTTTCTTTTTTTGTGATTGTTCATTAGAATGAAAAGTGTATATATTTGAAATTTTGGATCAACCAAGTAGCCATAAGATGGTTTTTTAAGTTGTTGCATCATATTACTATACAACAGTTGTATAAAATCATTGCCTTATAAAATTATCTAGTTTTGATGGTTTATTCCTCTGTAAACTGCACTAGACCACTACGTTAGCATCAGATTGATTTAAGGGAAATAAGAGCTTCATACTAGATTACAAAGTGAACTGGCTCATGTTGAGGCCCAGATCGTAAACACCACCACCGTTAACTCATAATCAATGACACGAACATAAACCAACATATGGGTACTAGTTCTTGCTTCCCTTAAGATGTAATATTAAGCACAGCAAACTGCTAAGCTGAGCAGTCATACTCAAACCCAAGATGAAAATTACATTTGCAGTTCACAAGACATGGTTGAAATCCCTGATCCATCATAATATAAACCCAAACCCCACCTTATATATATATATATTCAATGCATATGAGTGCGTATACATGTGGGAGTGAGAAGCATTATGTCCAAGCTGCCATGTATCATCTCATGCGACAGGCTGCAGGCGCACCTGCAGCATCAGCAGCATGTGGAATGCGGCAACCATTACCAGCCGGCTGTGGTGGTGGTGGCGTGTTTGATAGTCAGCAACCACACTTTGTTCATTTCCCCTATACAAATTATCTAGTTTTGATGGTTTATTCCTCTGTAGACTGCACTAGACCACCACCTTCGCGTCAGTTTGATTTTAGGGAAATACGAGCTTCATACTAGATTACAAAGTGAAGTGGCTCAGGCGCAGATCATAAACACCACCACCTCTAACTCACAATCAATAACACAAACATAAGCCAACATATGGGAACCAGTTCTTGCTTCCCTTAAGATGTAATATTCATAAGCCAAAACCCAAGAACAAGTGTGCTCTGCAAACTGCTAAGCTAAGCAGTCATACTCAAACCCAATATGAAAATTACACTTGCAGTTCATATGGCGTGATTGAAATCTCTGATCCATCATATAAACCCAAACCCCACCTTATATATAGGTTACATGCAATGCATATGAGTGCGTATGCATGTGGGAGTGAGAAGCATCATGTCCAACCTGCCATGGATCATCTCACCCGACAGGCGGCAAGCCCACCTGCTGCATCAGCAGCATGTGGAATGCGGCAACCTTTGCCAGCCAGCTGGTGGTGGTGGCGGCGTGTTCGATAGTCGGCAACCACACTTTGGGGCAGGCTTGGAGGCTGGGGCTCATATGTGGTGCTAGTAGCTTGGAGGGGCTCAAGAGTCTCTACGACATCACTCATGAGTGGCCGGGCTTTAGGGTTTTGACTGAGGCAATAGTAGGCTAAGCTGCAGGCCTTTTGGGCAGCCCTGGTGGAGTACTGGCCCTCCAAGCGCGGATCAATGACTTGGAGGAGCTTGCGCTTGTCGTTGAGCTTGGGGCGTGCCCAGTCCACAAGGCTCTGCTCTTTACTCGGCCGTGTCTTGTCCACGGACCGCCGGCCAGTGAGCAGCTCAAGGAGGACCACACCAAAGCTGTAGACATCGCTCCTTGCCGTAAGGTGACCTGGTAAGGATTATCAATGAAGTTAGTGTTGGGGCATATAGGAGAAACATAAAATTGTAGCTCAATGGAAGATGGCTGTTGGTTCTACAAAGGAGGTAATGCTCAATCATATCGAATTTTCAGATATTCGAGAAGATAACACGAGTGTGTTGAATGCTGGAAAGCTCGTACCCTTTTGATACAAAAATGCCTTGCCATTATGACAAATTAATTATAGCCATATTAGGCAACACATACCTGTCATCACATATTCAGGGGCTGCATATCCATATGTGCCCATCACACGTGTAGACACGTGGGTCTCATCTCCCTGAGGCCCTGCCTTTGCGAGCCCAAAATCAGAGAGCTTGGCAGTGTAATCCTGTATGACATAGCAGATGATAGATGATGAGAATCAGAAGAACCACATAATTCATTATAATGAAAACGGCACCTAAGGCCTTGTTATGTTTTGAAAGTTCAATAGACACTGACAGAGTCCAGTAATATATTTGACGTCTTGAAATCCCGATAGATAACAGGCTTTTCAGCTCCATGAAGGAAAGCAAGCCCTTTGGCAGCCCCTAGTGCAATTGTCATTCTTGTTGCCCATGATAATGGAGCAGATGCCTCTGCACGCCTCAAGCAAGAGAAGTCATGTAAGATCATTTGCCCGAGTACACAAGAGTGCAGGGATATAACTTTAAAAGCATTAAAATATAGCTATTTGGACAGTTTCTTGTTACTTTTAATGTTTAGTATAAACCAGGTCATCATCATCATCTGAGCCAAAGGACTGCAGCACCAAAAGAATGTATTCGTTTTCTTTTAAACAGATCCAGCAGAGAGTTTTAAATAGAACTAAATGTCTAATTTCTAAATTCACAAATGTTTCTTACAACAAAAAATAGCAGAAACTTCATACAGAAATTTGTTCAAGAGTTGGGGGAAGAAAGACATACTACGAAACAAGTGGTTCTCAAGGCTTCCTCGGAACATAAACTCATAAACAAGCAACCTGTGGTCATCCTCGCAACAATATCCGATGAGCTTGACCAAATTAGCGTGCCTCAACTGCCCTAGAAAATTAACCTCTGCCTGTAAGTCAAAAAATACCATACACAAGTCAATAAACAAGAAATTAACTGAAAAAGGAAAAATCAATAAACTATTCTATAATCATGGGAAATAGAAAACTATTAAAATTTCCGAACAGTTACTTGTCGTGCAGCAACTAAAAAGTTCAGAACCAAAAGTGATTCTATTGATTGAAATCCCTACATCGATGACAATAAAGGCTGCTTTGAATTTGTTTGTTTTTTATAGTTAAAATCGTAATCCAAAGCGGGATTAAATCAGCCCTTACTTACAAGCCACTCCCTATGCCCTTGAAGACCATCCTTGTTGAGGACCTTAACAGCAACAGGGAGGGATTTGAGACCAACTCTCACATTCTCATCTATATATCCTTTATACACCGTCCCAAACCCTCCTTCACCAAGAACATAATCAGAGCGGAAGCTCTTGGTAATAGTCTCTAGCTCAAATAATGTGAAGGCGATCACATTGGTGGATCCTGGACTATGTCTCAGATCTTCAAAGTTTCTGGGAGTTGATGGGTCGCTGAAATCCGATGAGGACCGATTATGTCTCTTCTCAGAAGGAATGTTTTTTACAGGCAATGCCAATAACTGAAGTTGCTGAACTGTAACAAAAAAAGCAATTGAACTTCAGAAAAGGGTAAGGTAATCATGAGAGTGCGATAACTTGTCAACAGGGTCCCAAACCAGTTCGATCCATGATGATATTTCCTGATGCATATAATGAGGGTTACTAAAAAGATCAGACATACTTGTTGCAATGGAAAGAAGGTATACTGATGTGATGGGTATATCATGAAAATCATTGTAACCACTGACCGACGCTTGAACTTGCCAGTCACTTGACTAACCCTAAAATCGGGGTGAGTCCGACCTAGTTCTTTGAATGTTAAATGTTCCTTCTGTTGAGACTCAGCCGAACCGGCCTCTTACTTGAGCTTGGGACCCAGGTAAATCCAAGCCTGAGGTCAGGCCACTAAATACCGATGAAAATAGATAAGTTGGGATATTACTGGAACCGTGAGAACATTCTCAAGCAACCTTACTTTTCCATTAAAAATGATGAAGATAGCACTGACTGTATTGGCATGGTTGAATCAACTATGAAACTTGGTAAAAGGGTAAGATTAGATTGACTGAGGTAGTGAACAAGGAAACTCCTAAAACTGTCATGAGCTGATGAAGGTGCACCAATGTTGGATGGAATAAACGATTATCAATCCCAAACAAAAAAATAAAGGGCGAAACAAAACCAGATTGAACCCTCCTATAACGAGAGAGAGGGGAAAAAGAAACTAATATCACAATCTCCTTTACAAAATGAAACAACAAATCATAGATAATCCAAATTCTCACAAGAAGACCCACAGTACAAAAAGTTACACTGGCATTTCTACAGCGATAAAAAGGAATAAATATTCAGAACAATTCACAGAAAGGAAAAGCATCTTGAGGCCGATTCACAGATTTTGGCATAAAACAAAGAATGAAATAAAAAGAAATACCAAACGTGGCAAAGGAAAGCGTAGGCACCAGAGAAGAAGCCCTAGACGTAAACAGTAGCGTGTAGTGGAACAGAGGGATGGTGTGTGTGTACCTTGGACCTGAGCAGCTGCAACGGCGGATTCCTCTCTAGTCCCACAGTTCCCCATCTTCTCCCTGCCTCTATTATTCTCATACTAATCTCTTTTTTATTATACGCTTTCTCCCCTCCAATATCATACAATCATACTACTTGTAGCTTCTGTGGATAAATATACGGCCGATCTGAATCTCCTGCTTCTTCTTCTTTCGATAATGGGAGTTTGAAGACCTTCCCTTCTATTTTGAGCTCTTCAATCTCATCACTTATTTGTTGTTCAGAGTGAGAGAGAGACAGAGGTCACAAGTGGGGAAAGTAAGGGTGAAGGGACTCGCAAGATTCCCTTGCCTTCTTAAATTTGGAACGGCAAATGGGCAAATGCTTTACAAAAATGCCCAATTTATCCACATCCTTCTGCTACAAAATGGGGATACTATTGAGACCCGCAGGTCCTGACTTGTGCCACAGAACTTGTATGGAGAAACATTAGCCACCCAATTTTACATCAGACGGCCAAGGGCGGGCCATCTTGAATTTCTTATGTTCCAACATATCAGGAAAAAGAATGGATACCAAAATATCCAACTGGAATTGAAGGACATAATTGTCAATTTAGAAGAAGAAGGGTGTTTTGGGATTAAAAATGGCATTTTGGTCATTGTCGACAGTGAGTCTCGGAAAGAGAGGCGGCATTATGAGGTGGGCACGCTCCCATTCAATTGGGGCAGACAAAGTCCCCCGATTTTCAGGAATTCACTTAAATGCCCCTCTCTCTACTCAGCTCCAACAAATGGTAGTAGATATGGATGCATGATGTTGCCCACCATACATACATACATACATTACATGCACATATTTTTTAATTCCAATTCCTTTCCTGTGGACCATTGCACGCGGGAATTAATGCCCAAACTCCACAATTTCATTCCCCCACATGTTAAAAAAAAAACAGAAACAGAACAGCTTTTTATCCAAAAATCCCAAGAAAATATTTGTTTACGCTTCCATTATGGAAATACCCATTCGGCTTGGGAGACTACGAAACTGGATTATGGCCAAGCCGAATTGGATAGAAATTCCATTATGATTTCTTTAGGAAATCTTAAATACCAGCAATATGGGCTTTCACCACAATTCGAATCCCAAATCTAATCGAAATTTTAAATTTCTCTTTTTTTCCCCATTTGAAATAGTTATGGGACGAGAATCAGGAATAGGGCTCATATAAAACTACTGAAAACTTGACACAAAAAATAATAATAATACTAAAGACAAATAAAGAAACGAGGAAATGAATTTTACACATATTAAATAGGCGCCACCTATTTCTTTTTTTCGCTTAATTATCATGCATCGTATCTCATCACATGGGCATTGGATTAGGTGTTTGTCACCCAGAAATGTGCATTCAATCTCTTACGAGTAAAAATATGTGTATCAGAAATATGCATTCAAATTCGGAAAATAATAAGAATTCCATTTGATATCTGATTTGATTTTTTTTTATCTTTTTTTTTCCTGGCCTGAAATTGTTTCGAGTTCTTCATTTCAGAGGTTTTCTTTTGAGCAGTTCAAATTTATTTATTACCGATGCGCATAGCATGACGGGTGGTGCGTCCCATTATATAAGATTCTAGTTGCAGGAATTGAAAGTACGTAAAAAGAAGTGCAGGGAACTTTTTTAGCTCCTTTTCTTATTTATGGAAATGGTAGTCATGTTATTGGGACATCACTTCAAGAACAAAGCTTTTCTTTTCGAATATACAGTTGGAGCTGATCTGTCCCCAAGTCTATAAAAAATATACTCTTTTTTTATATTTCTTTCCGTAGTAAAGCGAGTTGACCTAGTTCTAAAAGACAATGGGTGTCTGAAGGACATATAATAGGAAATTAATGTCAAGACAAACTCACTACTTCTAAATAATTATCTAACACGTGCTGATACATAGATTCAATTCGCGCACACACACTATTTTAAATTAATCAGTTAGGAATCATTCTATCTATCTATAAATTATTTCCTACAATGGATGGATGTATCCATGTAAGAAACTACTCTTCTTGAAACATTTTATTACAATAATAGAAATACAAAGTCAACATTTCAAAAAAAAAAAAACCAAGTGCTTCTAAAATTTCCAAACAAATATTTGATTCACATTATTTGTGCTCCTCTACCATCATGTCGAGGTAAAATTCTGTAACTTCCGAAACAAACAAGCCCAAATAAAGCAAGAAAATTTTTCTTAATTGTTTTTGGCTAGAGCTCGAACCGCTTGCCTCTTTTCTCAGTTGGAGGACCGGTCTCGCTAAAAGATTTAATGTCAACTTATATCCACTTATATCTATTGCTACCCATTATCATAGAGGATTTAATGTCAATGTATACTTAGCTGCGACCATTAGAAACTGGACTTAATTACAATTCATTTTGCAATGGGGAGAAATTTTAGCAGTTCGACCACAACAACTGTAGGGTCTCAATGAGTTTATTCACTAAATTTGCAATTAACTTAACATCTGATGTAGTCACCTCAACTGGTTTAACGTAGTTCAACATTCCTAGGCAGCACTAGCGAAGATACAGTGATGGGGACTAAACTACCCAGGCATGGCATTTCAGACCATTATAAATAAAAATAAAAATAAAAAAGCAAACAGCATTCTTCCAAATAATGGTCAGAGACATTTCTGCAAAAAAAAATCCAAGAGTCCAAATTTCCCAAATATTGTTTAGACTTATCAACCAAAAAACTAAATAAATAAACAAGAGCAAGGAGTGATGATCACATTCCATGGCTCAAGTATACCTTGCAAAAGCATATCTATGTACCAGGGAAAAGATAATCCACTTAACCCACTTGTTTGGAAGAAAACAAGTCTAATAGCATAGCAAATAAAGGATCTACCTCCTCAAAGCAAGGAGCAAGAGGGAAACCACTATATAAAACCTAGAAGCTCCGACAATCCCATAGGGATAAGAGACAATAAGCTCCTCAAAGGAAAGAATAGAATCCCAAGGAAAATCAATGATGAATCTGATCACTGACCTAGAGCCAATAACAAGCTAAAGAAATTAGTGAAGTTTGGAAGTTGGCAACTTCTTGGGGAATATCTACCATTCAGTTTCATGTGAAAGTATAAGTTTATTTAATTCTTGAAATTCCATATCTAAGGTGGAGATGCCAATGAACTAGTCGGTTCCATTAGCTAGTTGCAACACCAACGAGCACTTGAAAGTAGCCTCATGGCTTCCCTGCTTTCAGATATGATTGTCTATAATTGTTGGTTGCCACTTGATGCTCCAAAACCTCCACTAACTCAATGATTACCCAGACTCTTAGAGAACCTCATAGTCATCCATAGGCCTGATATGCCTCCACGTTCACAAAACTGCATCTGAATCAGGTTCGTGAAGTTTGTCAGACCAAGCCCAGAGCTCTTCAGTTGCACTTAGAGAACTATATTAAATGACCCTGCTAGAATGGTTCACTGTTTCATCCTTAAGCTCCCCAATGACCTAATCATTACACGAAGGGACCAGCCACTTATAAAGACAATGATTTCCTAGAGAGAGGGATGACCTCGGAAAGCATTGGTGCTGAGTTTTCAAAAAATGACCAAATAACTAGTTAGGCTTCCAACTTTTTGGCACACTGTCTATAGTACCCTCTGTTTATTGACAAGACTAGCTTTTCATGTGTTGCTGACGATATATTATTTTTTTGTCAAAGCATATTACAAAAGTAGGGAGGAAGAAGTTAGGAACATAACCAGGTGAGTCCTTTATGCGAAAGTTCCTTTCCCCAATTCCAATACAAATACATCTATACACACCCCACAATTAGCAAGGCATTTGTAGTCTCATTTGTCCAAGCAATATTGTATTCATTACCTCTTCCTTTTCAATGTCATTTGTAAAAAATTGGTACTATAAATGAAACACTTCCACAATTACAATTAATTTCCACAAGAACAAGATGTTAAATTTCTTGAGAAATCATAGCCACTGCTACAGATGCCCAAGTCTAGTTGTTTTTTTTTTCCCCTTGGTTCTGTAAAGTCATATCTTGCCCCAGTTAGTAACAATGAAAAGCTACAAGATCAACAAAGATGCAGCAACATCTGCACCCAAGCTAGGGGCAGCATTGGGAGCTATATGCATCTTGATAAATGTAACACTAACCTATAGTGATAATAATGCTAATCTGACATACAGGAAGGAGATCATTAGGTACAAAAAGGAAGCAGAATAACATCCTATCTCATCTGATCGCTGTTAACCTCTGAACATAATTTCATATGACCGACAGAGAACCCGGAAAACAGAACCAATGCACTACCTGATTGGAATGACTGGAGATGCATCACAATGAGCAAGAAACTGGGATTGGGTAATAGCATGCCACATGATAAAATTGGCTCTGTACAATCTATCTCCAGGGAAAGAAGTTAGAAATACCACCCCAATGGATGGGATCCTCCCAAGTCTACTAAAGTTAGTCATCGCAGACATATGTCTTATCCTCATAATATCTCCTCTCACTTTCTGCTTTCTTTTCGTTTCTCTTCTGCATACAGAGCAACAAGAATCATACTCAAAGCTATAATAATTATTCCAATATCTTCTTTTTTTATGAATAATCAATCCAAATATCTATAGAAGAAGAATAATTCAAGGAATGCATATCTCTAAAATCATCAAGGAATTCCAACCTCAATTTAGTAAATAACTAGACCTAGTGAATACGTTCCATTTCTTTCCATTTAAAGAAATAAAACACCAATTGACTCCATCAGAAAAAAGACAGAAGATGTAATAGCATATAATGAATGGAGCTTGAAAATCAACCTGATAAGATTCATGATTTGCCACAATCCTTCGGATGATGGTTGTGGTTGTGACGTCCAAAGGGCTTTCTATTTCTCTATATATTCCCATGCTAATAGGAGCTGCATATGGATTGTCATCTACCTAAAATAAGATTCATAAGCATTGCATTAGGTGCATAAAAGGTAAGGAGTAAGGACAGCAGTGGCAACAATAAACAGCAATAAAAGGTGGTTAGTCTGTACTCTCAGTATGTAACAGAAACACAGTAAAATTTCTCTCTTTATCAGTTATATTAAATATGTATTTGTTATCGATGTACCATTCATGAAATGTGAGTTTATGAAAACAAGAAAGGAAGCGTGTACCTTCCAAAAATCACTATTCTCTGCAACCGTTCCATGAACAACCAAGGAGATGTTAAATGTTGTAATCTGATATCAAAGACAAAAGTACATGCTAAGCAATTCTGATAAACTTATTTATTGTCTCGCAATTTCGATAAACTTATTTATTGTGTCAGAGTTCATTAAATGCATTTAAAACAAGTATCCATGCTTATGCAAATGATAGTAGCATGCAAGTGTAGTTTTTCACAAGATATCAGCATGCAAGGGAGTCTGCCAATTCAAAAACTTTTGTTTTTTCCCTAATGTTCTGCATGAAAATGAAAAACTTCATGAAAGGAAGCAAACACATTAGAATCCAGAGAGAAATCGTGACAAACAAATTATAACAGAACATTTCAATTTAAGTACAAACTCCAAGCAAATTGTTTGGATGACTGTCTATGATTTCTGTTTATCCAAAATGATAAACTTTGATTCACTGATGGCTTGTCTGGATGGAACTCATTCTCACTGATCATTCACTACTTAAATAAAATTAATCCTGGTAATGAACCATCTATTATTTGACACTGTACATCATAAAGTTGTCTGGATTAAACTTATAAGTTTATCTTTTTAAAAAGCTGTTTTTACTTTATTCAAAGTAATTTGATGAAATCGCATCCTTTTAGCCAGAAATAGCTAAAAAACGCTGGAAATCACTGAAAAATTAAATGATTAAATAATATCATAAATTATACAAGATACATACCAAACAGCTAATAGAAAAACATTATCGAGAATATATTAGCTTTTGTTGAGAGAGTTTATTCCAACAAAAAAAATTAATTGTTATTCAAACAGACCCTTAAATTGTGAGCATATATGCCAGTTAGCATGCCCAAACACCAGCATAGTCAGATCCATAGCATAGTCTTTTCCAATGCAATAAAGTTACATAGTGTCTATTTTGATGAAGGGGTATTTCCATGGGTTTGCTCTTGGCATCGTGTTCATACCGTTGTCTAGAATGATCCCGGCCGATGGCTGTCTGTCCATATAACACATACAGCTCTAATTTTTGGTTGGGCCAGTTCGATGGCTCTATATAAATAAGCTGTTTTTTTTCCCTATGATCCCATTCTTGATGCAATGTGGAGACAAGGTATGTTTGCTGTAACCTTCATAACCCGTTTAGGACTAACCAAGTCATGGGGCGGGTGGAGTATCACAGGAGGAACTGTAATGAATTCGGGTATTTGGAATTACAAAGGTGTGCCGGGGCACATATTGTCTTTTCTGGTTTGTGCTTTTTAGCATCTATATGGCATGGAGTGTATTGGGATCTACAAATATTCTCTGGTGAATGCACATGAAAACCCTCTTTGGATTTGCCCAAAATTATTTCTCTCAGGGGTGGCTTGCAAAAGTATGAGAGCACATAGATGTGTGCACACAAACGAGAGTATTAGTTCCCTCAGTAATTAATCCCACAACAGCTGAGAGTATTTTGATATTTCACAACATTTGTGAGAAGCTGCTCCCATGTTCCTCATGGACCTTGTAGTGTTTGCAAGAGGTTAGTCATTGAAACCTCTTGATGCTGGGAGAACTAATAATAAATCAGAAAATAAAAAATAAAATAAAAGCTTGAGAGATTATAACCTCTCTTTGAAGTCTACAAGGAAGTCCACTCCAAGATCTTTGTACAAGACCCAAATTCTTTACAGAATCACCAATCACTTTTTTTTACAAAAAAGGGAAGCTTTTAAATACACTAAGAAAAAAAACCCAATAAAAAAATTTCTCTTCTACGTTTTTTTTTTCTCTCCCTATCTTCTCTCTCTTCATCTCATCCAACTTTTTCAACTCCCACCTTATCTCTCTCTAAACCTCACAGTATCATTTCTAATAATAAAAGAATACTGCTACACTACTACTTATCTTATCTATACGTTACTTCCTAAACCAAAAGATAGGCAGCTTCCTTAAAAGGATGACTTGCCAAAAACACACTTCTTATTATGGTGTAAAACATACTTTATTCACTACTCATACCCTCACTAGAAAAAAAAAAAGACAATTGCTCCTAAGAAAAACATAATTTATCAACTAGAATAAAATTAAAAATTAGAATTCACTTTTTTTTGCATCATTCTCCCGAGGTTGGTAGAAGCTCGACCTCGAGCTTGATTCAAAGTGAACCTCCATCATCACCATGCTGGATTATTTATGGAACTTGAACTTCATCCGCTTCCTTACCAAGTGTACCTCTATCCTCTTTTTTGGGCATTCATATGCACAGTGTCCTGGTTCGTTACATCGATAACACAACCTTTATAGTATCATTTTTTTCTTCATTAAATTTTGGTTGGCACGAAACCTCCTTCTAGGTGAAAAATCACTTATTAATGCTCAATTAGTATTTGGTTTATACTCGTAAAGCAATTTTATAAGCCTCACTTAAGGTCTATGGCCGATGTAGAAAGACCTCGTTTGTAATGGTTGGTTGAAGCCCATTCACATATCTAGCAACCTTTTTGTCCTTCCGTCTCTTTGAGGTTATTTTGAGCTACTAATCGATAAAATTCCCCAGTACAATCTTCCACTTTCTTCACATTCTGACGAAGATTTTGGAGTTCTTGAAAGAAAATTTGCTCATGATCCACATGAAAATTTTCTTCCAATTTCTTCTTCATCTTTTACCAGTCACTAATTTTTCTCTTTCCACTACGAAATCGGGATTGTTGAACTTGCTCCCACCAACCCGCAGCATACCCACGGAGCTTGGTTGCAACAAGTTTAACCTTATGCTCCTTTAGCAATTCACTCCATTCAAAATAATTTTCAACAGCACTCAACCATTCAATAAAAACCTCTATGTGGAGCTTATCATGAAATCCAAGGAGATTGATTTTAATACCAAAATCTCATGGACGCTCTACAGGATGCAAATATTGCCTGTAAATTTCTTTGTTACGGTCGGGATCAGTACCATAGGTTTGTCATGAGACCACTGGTGCAAGATCGATGTGGTTGCGAGCACCCTATTCGCGATGATCATTGTTCTCCAACCGATGGTAACCGCTGATTCATTTCACGAACTTCGGTTCGAACATCCTCCATGAATTTGGTCTAATTTTCTAAAATATAGCAGAATTAGCTTTTAGTGGCTTGCAATAGCTGAAACTTACTAGTTCTGATACCAACTGATGCAGGGAGAAACAATAATAAATCATAAAATAAAAACATAATAAAATTTTGAGAGATTATACCCTCTATCTGGGTCTGCAAAGGTGTCCACCCCAAGATCTTTTCACAAGACCCAAATTCTTTATAGAATCACCAATCACCTTTTTTACAAAAAAAGGACATCTTCCCTTTAAATACACTTACAAAAAAAACCCAAAAAAAATATACCTCTTGTACATTTTTTTCCTCTCCCTATCTTCTGTCCTTTCATCTCATCCAACTTTTTCAACTCCCCCTTTATCTCTCTCTAAACCTCTACGTTATCCTTTCTAATAATAAAAGATAATTACTACTTATCTTATATATATGTTATTTCCTAAACCAAAAGATAGGCAGCTTCCTTAAAAAGAGGACTTGCTAAAGACGTATTTCCTAGTATGCTTTAAAACATACTCTTTTTTACTACTCATACCCTCACTAGAAAAAAAGACATTTGTTTTTTTTTAGAATTGTTAACATTGTATTACTAAGACAGTAATAGTTACAAAAAAAAAAGGAAAGACAATTGTGTAACTTATCCAGAATAAAATTAAAAATTAGAATTCACTTTTTCTTTGCATGACCTCTTCAAGAGCTCAATTTTGGCTTGTGAATTGGAGGAAAAATAATGTGGCATGGACAACAACAAAAACTATAGCATGCATAAACAAAATCTTATGATGTCTGCTACATGATAACATGAATAAGAAGTGTATGTGTGTGTGTGCACGCAGACACTTGTACTATCATGGATAAAGAAACACAACAAGTCTACTCATGACTCACCCAAAGTACCTCAACTAGAGGAAGCTGGAGCATAAAACAAGCACTACGCAGCCCAAACTTCAATGAGGCAACAAATTAATCAAACCAGTATGTGCATCACTCGACAATCCAGCGAGTAGCATGAAACTTAGTCACATGCAAGTCTAGCAATATACTCTTTTCTACGAGCCGTAAGTGGTATTCAGGAATGCGATTCGTACAAATCTTGAGTATGAAAGAAACATAAGAACTTCAGGCCAATCATGGAACCCATATAACCATAATTTTTGTATAAAACCATAAATTGAATCAAATACTAAAAAATATATAGCCGCCCCAAATAATTGGGATAAGGCTTGGATAATGATGATAACTAAACTTGTAAAATTCACTCACTATTAGGTACTTTGAGTTCTTCTTCTAACACACCAGCATATGCATGGTTAAGGAAGAGATTTTGAATAAACTAGGAGAATTGGATTGGAGTGCCCCAGCTGAATACTAGCAATGTCTCAAGTACAACTCATAAGTTTGGAAAAAAAATAATATCATCATCTTCATTAGTCTTTTCCAACTATTTAGGATCAGCTATACGAATATTGGTCCACCATTTTGCTCTATCAAGAGCCATACCCTCAGTGAACCCATAAGTCACCATATCTACTACTTCCAACCATCTACCCCTTGCCCTTTTTGAGCCTTCCGCTTGAACCAACTCAGAACCCGTAATGTGTTGTATTGGGTCTGCAATGCACATGACCAGCCCACCTAAGTCTATTTTCTCCCATCTTATCACCTATTAGAGCCGCACTTAAGATCTCCGAATGTATTCATTTCAAATGTATCCCCTCATCTCAGCCAAACTCATCCTATGGGTATATTGTTTCTTGACCGCCCAAAATTCCGCCCCATAAAGCAAAGTTGGTCTCACAGTTGTCCTATAGAACTTCTCCTTCAGCTTCATTAGTATGCAACGATCACATAAAACTTCAATTGAACATCTCCACTTCACCCACCCAGCTCTACTTTTATGTGCGACATCTTTCTCAATCTTTCCACATTCCTAAATTATTGAAAAATTATATATAGTAATACATATATACATATGTACAAACACATAAATAAACATACATACATACAAGTTCTAGTAACATTCACTATGCAAATTGAATATTGCAAAGATTTGACAGTACTTGACTTGCACTTTCAAAATATTACTTTTGGCATGATGGTACTACTGAAAATAACAAATGGAATAAGAGCAATATATATCGGCTACCACAAATTATACTGTGTCTCAAACATCCAACTAAATATAAATACTAAAATTCTAAATGGCTAAAATTCCCTCCCTAAAAAATGATTCACAACAAACAGTAAATGTAAACTATCTAAAATTTATGTTGAAGGATATCCTTCTAATAATGTTTCTTCATCATCATCCAAGTCTTTTCCCAATTAATAGGGGTCGGCTACATGAATCGTGTTCCTCTATTCTAGGTTCAGGATTCATAATAAGAAGTGGCAAAGTTTTATGCTGGCTGCAAACCTGACACAACCCACCTCCTATACCCGGGCTTGGGACAGGTTAAGGGAAAGTTTAAGGTCTTCACCCTTCTTAGGCCACCTTCTAATGATGTTTAATACACCATATTGTTTCCATGTCAATTTCAATTCCATTAAGACAGCATACTGCAGTCAACTTTGCATCAATCAAATTAATAGCTATACAGATCTAGTAAATGGAAAACTGAAAAACAAATCTTGGTCACTACAACAGAGAATAAGGGCAATGCTCGATCTTACCAATAAGACATAAACAATGATGACCTCACTACAGGTGTACTATGGTATTCTCAACATTATTATGAAAAAGCAACATTAATGAGTCTGTCTACATATAGAAAGTTCAAAAAGGTTGACAAATAACATCAAAAAAGGTACAAGGAATAGTGATATTAAGAACTAACCATGTCTTTTGACACCACCCAAGGGGCACCGATTATAACCTCATCAACATATCGACAAGCTAAAACACTCAAACTTCTTTCATGAAGATTCATGATCGGGCGATGTGCACCCCTATTAGTGCTGCAAGAACCAGCCAAAAGAGATAAATTTCAAAAGCAACAGATGATAACATAAGATAACATTAAGACATGGTTCTTTGGGCAGGATAAATTCCCTCTAGCATTCAAGTGAAAAGGCATTGTTTTGGACTGATATCAAGCAATAAGGCATTGAAGTTGTATAATATATACAAAACAACATAAGATATCCATGTGCATAGTGTTTTCATGTAAAACAAATGACCTAGAAAACCTGAAATACCCAAAAAAAGGTTTTAGCTCAAAATAATAGTATAAAATGCTCAAACTGTAAAACAAGTTGAAACTATATCTTGGTATTCAATTTTTCCTTTTATTTTGGGCCAGGCTCAAGTTTTTTCTTATGGAAATGCAATGATATTGGTATCATCCTAAGGCACCTCTTGGGATAAATATTATTACGACTGCTGACCGACAGCTATGGTAGGAGGGATCAATATTTCTTGATTCATAACCGGGATTGATAAAACATTCCCATCCATAAACAATTTATGTATTCATAGCTGATGGTACCAAGTTTTTGAAGGATGACTCACCAAAGCACCCATTAATCTACTATTCTATAGGCGACTACAGCCTTGTCCTACAACTTATAAAGTAACAAATAATAATCATGGAGATTTTGCTAACAAGTAACATTCAAAAGCTAGGGGGAATTTTTTTTCCTTTTTTTCTAGTTAATACTAATAGCCAAGGGAAATTTGGTAAGTGCAAAGGTTTGTGACTTCGTATAACACCAAATATACAAAGAAGGAAGAAAGTCCCAAATGCCCAGCCAGCATTAATTAACCTTACTTGGGGTTGCAATAAATAAGAAGCTAAAGAAAGGAGGAAAGGAAAAACTGACAAGAAAACTTCTGGCTACATGATATGATAACTTTCTTGGGAATTAATTATTGATTTTTTCTCCTCTCAAACAAATTACTAAGGAGCATACCTGGGATCGTACGTCTAGACACAACTTCAACTTGCACATGACTTTGACAAGATAAGCAACCAATTTCCACATAACAAACATTGAACCAAGAAAACAAGTATCTCATAAATTAATATCCGCCAGCAGTGGACATGAATTAAATTAGAAGATAAAACAGAACAGTTCAACTTTTGGTGAGCAAACCACGTCAAAATGTTAACGTAACAATCTATAAAAATATCCAACACAGAAAAACAAAACCAGCACCTGACTGTCTGATCTGTGTGGATCCCAACAAGCAGGAAGTCTCCAAGCTCCCGAGCAACTCTTAGTATCTATATATCAAATGATGGCAGTTATTACCATACAAACATTTACAATGCCAAATTTTCTAATTGAAAATTACGAAGCATAGTCCAAATTTCTTCAGTGTATCGAATAACAGAAATTCATCATCAAATTCACATAATTAATGCTTTGTAAGAAAACGCACCTCTACATGCCCAGCATGAAAGAGATCAAATGCACCATCGATATAGATAATGCGAGCATCAGGTCCGGGCCCCTACATGAAATAAATGACATTTTACTCCAGGCTAATATTTCTCCAAAGGTGCATGCACAACTGAAATGCTCAAAAAGGAACAAAAATATACGATTAAAATCTATGGACTATATTGTATCCAATTTCTAAATGCATTAGCTAAAGAAACTTATCCTTAGATACAAAAAATATTAAACTCTCATATGTTCAAAAAATGAAAAGAGAAGTGTATGAGAGATTGAATAATTGTGGTTAAAGCTGACAAATCAAAGGCAACACTCTAAGAAAGAATACAAGGTACAAAATCTTATTTAACAAATATAGTTGCACTTATATCCCTGTTCAAGACTAATAGCACATTTGGTGAGCGGGAAAATTCTCTGTGAAGGTATTTTCACATGAAAAAACTCCTTATGTAATTAGATGTGAGAGTTTTTTACGCCAATTGGTCCCAGCGCATTTTTTCAGGCAGCCAATTGATGTGAAAAAACTCTCACACCAAATTACATGAGAAGGTTTTCACGTGAAAATACTGTCATGGAAGTATTTTTACACATACCAAAGGTGCCCTAACAGGCAACAGAAGTTGGGAAAGCAGCAAGAAACTTTTCCAGAAAAAGTACAAGAACGTTCATTTGCAATAATACCATGACATTTTGAAGAAATTAAAAAATTTCCCTAATCCGAGAAAATGAAATTAGCAATAAATGTTTGCGCAAATTCAAACTAAATTCGTCAAAATAGAAATTAGAAAGGTATATCACAGAAGTAGAGAGGAAAGTGCTCATTCTTTCAAAGGAGATACTATGGCAATTTGTTAGAAAGCAGCCAGAAAGAACCCCAAAAGATACAACTTTTCAAACCTCATTTTCCTATTATGCTGTTAACAGTAAAAACAATTAAAAATCCCTTGGAATAATGAAATACCTATAGTGCGCTGAGGATAGAATGAACCGGTGGCACATCTTTTACAGAGCAATATTTTGGGTTGAGGATAAAGTGAATTGGTGGTGCACTTTTTACAAAGCAATAGAAATGTTTGTCACAGGAACTAAAGTAACAAGTGTTTATATTATCATATTGAATAGTGGAGAGACCAAACCGGTCAGGCTTAGTTTAGGAAAGAATTTTGGAATACATTGCATGTTGATATTGTATTCAAAGTCAAAGCTCAGTGTTTGCCGACACCCAAGTCAAATTGTGAGCCATATAAAACGGTGCTAATGCCACTACAAAGGAGGGCCATATAGCATTACCAAAAATGGGTTCCTAGCAATTTTTCTCTTATTATATCGCTATCGCCAATCCATTGCCTCCATCATTCAATAGCTATCCCCAAGGATCTCTTAGCGAACTTCTAAAAAAATTTAAATAGACACAATGTACAAGAGTTGGAGTTCTCAGTAATAACTATTCCCATCCCATGTGGAATGGAAAAGGAATTTTACCAAAAGCAGATTGATAAAATCCTTAAATGAGTGATCTAAACAAAAGTTTAATATCAGTGACCCTTGGATCATGGAACCTTTCTAGCCGATAAGGAAAATGTAGACATCGAATTGGTAATGAATACAGCACACAAATGCATTTGACCTGGAATTCACCACCACAATCACTTGACAAAACCTTTGACAGATATGCTGAATTATTTAATACAAAAATGTTCAAAACATTTGGGAAACAATTTCAGATTCATATTTCAAAAAAAAAAAACCCTGCAGACTTAACAAAAAAACTCATTTATCCAAAAAGTGAACCATGCAAATATGCCATAACTATCTAGAATATGACAGCCAAAGAGGGGACATTGTGTCCACAGAAACTGAATCCCAAATATTACTATGAACCATATCAAGCAGACAAGAGGCAACTTTATCATCAACAGAAAATGGGAAGTGGTATGGTTCCATTGATATCATGGGTCACATAATCCAGCTCCTAAATGATAAGCTTTGGGTCCAATAACAGCAATTCCATTTCCAAATAGACATCATCTTGCCTGAGGCCCAGAATCATGACAAGAGGTTAAATATTCTTAATATTTGGCTCATTTTTACTAATTTCTATGCAACCCAAAGTGGTCTGTGATCTGAAGCATGCTCCAGAAAAACTTGGCAAACAATGGTTATAATGGTCGGCATACTCAAAGTCATAAATGCGGGATGTGGACTCCAAGATGCGCTATGCAGCTTGACGAGATCCCAATGCAGGCGCATCACTTCCAATGTGGTCAATAAAGAAAAGTAACAAACTATAAAAAATATAAGTATACAAAGAAAAGCATGAATATGAGATCATGCGATACTAGGTACTTTAATTTAGTATTTGTATCTATTGTATTGGTCGGCTCAGTTGCTAACTAATGCAGGAAGGAAAGGTGGGAAATTGAATCCACTTTTTTCCTGAGCCTCAAACAAGTAAAAATCAGCAATTATAGAGAAAATACAGTTGTAAATATCAGCCAAGAAAAGGAGAACTTTCTTCTTTAACAAAATAAAATTTATTTCCATAACATAAGTATCCCAAAATTTGACATCCAACCTTTTATAAGCCTATAAAGCCCTAAAGTTAACTTGAGATCAAAGTAAACATTTAAAACACTAAAACACATCTAAGTAATACTAAAATTTCAGAAATGCCCCTGTGAACAGTAACACATGAACAGTACACCATGAACAGTAAAGTGTGCAGCACTTATGAAAGGTAACCAGTGAATAGTAAATAAAAAATATAAAAAAAAAAACCTTGAATCCCTAAAAAACTTAAACCTAGAAATAGACCCTAAAATTAAAATTAAAATATACTTGAAATTAAATAAAAATTAAATTTAGATCAATTTTATCTTGCATCATTCTCCCCTAGTAGGAGAAAACTCGTGCTCAAGGTTTGAAGTGTGCTAAGAAAAATTCAGTATCAAAACAACCTTCTTCAAACCACTTTTTCTTCTTCGTTGGCTTGCTTATTATTCTTGATGCAAGAAGGGAAGGTGTGAAATCAAATCCATTTTAACCTAAACCTCAAACAAGTGAAAATCAGCAACTATAAAGGAAAAGCATTGCTGTAAATCAAGCCAAGAAAAGAAGAATTTTCTTCTTTCATATAATAAAATTCATTCGCATAAGCATCCCAAAATTTGACATCCAACTTCTTATAAGTCTATGTAACCCTAAAATTAACTTGTGACCCAAGTACACATTTAAGACTCTAAACTACCCCTAAACAATACTAAAATTCCAGAAATACTCATGTAAACAGTAACACATGACCTGTACCCATGAACAGTACCTATGAATAGTAACCAGTCAATGGTAAATAAAAATATAAAAAAACCCTAGAATTCCTAAAAAACTTAAAACCCTAAAATAGCCCTAAAACTAAAATTAAAATATACAAGTTTTGAAATTAAATAAAAATAAATATTAGAATAATTTTGTCCTGCATCACTAATACCCTGATAAAAGAGTAAAAGAGACATCTATTGTCTCTATTCTCTCGTAGTCTATCAATCATCCTATTCACTAATATGCAGAATAATAAGTGACCACTGATCAGCCAAGAACTTAAAAATTAGCATCTAGCAACTAAGTACACATATTATAGGCTGTAGTATATAGCCAAAACCTAAAATGCTAAATACTAAAGAGTCTAATTGTCTAAAAGTACCTCCAGTGCATAACATCCAAAGTCTAAAAGCTCACGACATAAAAAACAAAAAAGAAAACATATCACTCCCAAAGGGCTAAAAAAAAAAAAAATTGATTTCTAGGTTTTAATCTCCTTGTCCCTTGGAATCCCCAATTACTTCGTAAAATTTTTCCTGAAATCTGTCAAAACAATGCACCAAATAAACTCGAACTTTTGCCCAATGAATCCCAAATTTTATCGAAATCTACGGACTCAATAAAGAAATTTCGATACGTAATTTCAACACTTTAATTCCCCTAAACCATGAAAAAATGGTTCTAAGGAGTTCTAGAGGGGTATATCTCTCCTCCTAGCAAAAAACAAACCATCCCCCATGCCCCTAAAAAAAACATAAAACCCAAAGGGGGTTAGAGCAAACTGCACCTGCTTGTGAGCATTTTTCCACCCATGAGCAGTTGCTCTAATCTGCAGGCGCACAATGTTCATTGATGCACCAGCATACGATGGGTTGATGCGGCCACATATGCAGGCACATCATAATAGCCTGCATATGTGTGTGTGCCCGTGAGCGCATCCGCTTTGATGTTGCTGAATTTGATAACTATGCCAGGTCTTAAGCACACCGTGTAGCCTATATGAACATAGTCCAGGAATTCTTTCGCCCAAATAATCCACAATTTTTATCGAAATCTTTGGACCCAAAAAAAATAAATGATTGTAATTTCTCCGCTCTATCGCCTTAAAACCATGAAAAAATGGTTCTGAGGGGTCATATGGTGGGTTCTAGGGTCTATAACCCCTATTCACGACCCCTTCTTTTGTTGTTGTTGATGAGAAGGGAGAGATGACTGAAATGTCCCTGTTTGTGAGCATTTTTTTTTCGCCCACAAGTAGTTGCCCTCTAGTCCAGGCGCATAATATTGGGTGATGCACCCACATATGCGTGGCTATGTTCTGCGCCTATGCATTATGCAGCCACATTTAATAACTACTGACAGAGACGCTCATGCCCATTATGTTTGATAATGGGCTTTGTATCAAAGTTGATAAACACACCACGTAACTTATGATGAATAAATTACAGGAATTCTGTCAAATATAATGACATAAATGGCTTTGTATCAAAGTTGAAAAATGGCCACTAAATCCATTATAAAACCAGTCGTCTGCAATTTTTAAAAACTAACCTCAGTATACTTTTTTTTTCTAACTGGTGACTATTTAATAATAAATATCACACTCATTATACAAAATATTCTTTTAAATCAACCAATGAAAAGGTCACCTGCCCGATATGGTCAATTATGACAATTTTGAAACTTGAATCTGGGTTTTAAAAAGATGTGGTTGCATCATCTATGTGGGTACCAGATTATCATCTTACAAGACAAGCTTTTAAAAAGGGGGGAAAAATAACTAATAGGCTATCCCAAACAAATACAAACATAAGTATATACCTGAAAATGATATGGAGGTGCAGTCTGATATTAAACAATTTGCTATGTCACCTCTTTCAGCCAGGTTTGGACTCATTGACCAAATAAATTGATGATACATACCTAAAAAATGCTTTGAAGAAGCAATGTAGGACTGAGAATTATAAGTTGATACGACTAATTGAGTTCTTTCACCCACCATAATATAATCGTTATATGAAGAATAGATAAATACCTTTCCATTTGAAAACTGGACAATGCGTCGCGATGTTGGTAGGAAATGAGAAATTCGTGTTCCACTTCCCGATCCGCCATCCTCCATCTTTTGGTTATGCCCATGGCTAAATTGCCTTTGCAAAGATGAATGGTTATGAGTCTTGTGACTGTCACCGCTAGCCCTCTCTCTCACACAAAGAAGCATGCGACCTGATCCAAGTAGCATTACATTGCATTCATTAATACCAATATTTATCAAACTAAAAACATACTAAACAATATTTGTGTCCCAGATCAACAGTACATACAGTATTGTATCATCGATTTTTGTGCCCTAGATCAATAACCATGCCTCCACATAGAGGAAAAAGAGGAAAGCAGCAATTGTGGAAGCCTTTGATACTAGTTTGCAAGAAGGGATTGTAGATCTAAGGAGATTGGTCGAAACCCTAGCTCTGTATTTGGAGCAGATGGAAGCACCATCTCAAGAGTATGAGATCAAGAGGCAAATGAGGAATCCATAAATCCCTTCCATGATCAAGCTTCAAGGAAAGAGGTAGTTGATCGTACTGATAGGGATAGTAGGAGGTGGGAAACTGGTCTCAAGGTTGAGATCCTGGAGTTTTATGGAAGCCTATCCAAGGACAACCATGAAGAAACTTTGTTCTCATCAATTGGTTCTCAAGATCAGCATGTTTGGGACTAGCACTCTCCACCAGTCTTTGACAAGTACCTAGATGAAGATTTGGGTGTTGCAAAAGAAGTGAGTGATCATAGCTAATGGTGATCCAATCCATAAAGACGATCAAGAAGAAGATCCTAACATTGGAGAGGATTTTGTGGATGCTCATATTCTTGATAAAGAATGAGGCAGATGTCAAGGAGTTGTTCCTGAAATATTGGAGGTAACTGGTATCTTAGTCTTAGTCCCTAGAAAAGTAGCAAGGATAATTTTTCTTTCTGAAGTTTTACCTGAATATAGAGTATCATATGAGTTGTGGCCCTAGCTTTGGTGATATTTTCCTATGAGATTTTTGCGAGTGAGATTAATATAGAAGGTGGCCATCAAATGGTTGTTTATGTGATTCATGATGTTGGAGTTCAGCTTCAACCATTATTTTATTTTGAGTGGAGAACCTCTATATCTAATCACCATGTGCAAATTGAAGGAAATCGTGGGGGTAATGCATCATTAATCTTGAGCCATTTCAAAATTCAGGGTATTCTTTGATGTATTTAGGACCAAGTGTGTTGTGCTTACGTACTGCAAGTATGGCAAACCCCAATGGGCCCAAAAACGTGGTTAATCAAATGTTATGAGGATTGGAATAAAACGGCACGCCTTGATCTCAAGGTATCGTCAAGTTAGGATTGTTCAAAATTTTGCAAAATAATAACGACAATGCCTACAAATTGAAGCTTCCTAGATATATTCGCACTTCCAATGTTTTTACTGTCAAACATCTCATTCCATATCATGGCGATACCTCTGACGACGCTCTGCTGAATTCCAGGGCGAATTCTTTTGCGAAAAAGGGGACAAATGCAGCCTAGAGTACAGCTCTCGAGTATCTATATAAGAGAGACAAGCTTAAAGTTTACAAGAGGGACTACATAAGGGTAAAATAGCCAACGAGTCTGTTCTTTTATGTTTTTTATTTATTTCTTGAGTCATTTTATTTACTTACAAGCATAAGTAGTAATTTCTATAGTTTTTTATGTCTTTGTGTTCACTTAAAGTCTTTTATAATAAATGGACATGATTCGATTAGATGGATGGCCAGGATTAAGTTTTGTTTAGGGTTTTCTTATACAAGGAATATATCAAGCATAAAGAAGGATCTTGTTATAGACTTTATTCAAAACCCTAGAGCAGCCGGTGCTCATACTTTTATCTTTTGCTTTTGCATCTTTATCTAATTTTGGATCTTCCCTGTCTTCTTCTTTGCTAAATCATAGCTTCAAGCTACTAGGTTTGCGCCACATAGGAATGCTCCATAGGGTATACAAAAATAGAGTAGAGACTTTTGTTGGTTTTACATCACGTGGCATGCAAAGGCATTTAATCCTCTAGACCAGCTCCCCTTGTAAGAAGACAATTTCAGCCTTCAACAACAAAGAATAAGCTCATGGCTCCTTTTGTAAGTAATCCAAATGGATTCACACAAATTTCTTCTCAAGCGTTCCATGGGAGGATGATTTTGAAACCAAATACGAAAATGGCAATATTCAAGCTCATTTTCTATTGGAGGTTTCTTTATTGGAACCATTGTAAATGCATTTCATACCTTGCCGCAAGCATCTTTCTTGAGTGTGAACTTGGAAGGTAATGAAGGTTTTCAGTGGTCCAATGTGCTCCTTTGAAAAGCCTCGGCATAGTATCCTGGTTTTCATCAAGAACTCTAGTAGCAGGTGAGTTGCTTGATGACCCAGGGATAGAGCAACAAGAGGTGAAATCAATGGGGCAGTGCAAACCTGATGGATGGGGCACTTGACTTCAGCAACTCAGTGGTGATATCTTTTAACCACACCAATGAAGTGGTTGAATCCCCGGTTAAACGGGGAGTGTACGGATGCTCTCTTCCTTAGAGAAGATCTCCAACTCCTTTCAAATTCACGCTCTATGTGATCAGGATTTTGCAATCACATGTTGCGAGCCCCAATATGCTGTGTATATTAAGTTATATGTTGTTATGACATCAATAACCACTCAAATCTAGGGTTTGGAGATTAGTTCACTTAAACACTATGATCATGATTTATACTCTCAATTTGCCACATTAAAAATTAGTATATTTGAATAACACAGATATCCATGCATCGCTATTTTACCTGTATTTTTATAATAAATGTTATATTTGTAGGTTTGATATTGGATTGCCACTTTACAATGAGTAAAACCGGTACGCACTACCCATGAGCACGATCTTGACTCAAGTCAGTATCAATGCCATAAACTCGCAGTTCTAAGTCATATCACAAATAAATGGAAAAAAACTACATATTGCATTGAAACAGGACAGAGTCAATACCAACAATATCAGTGCTCGAGACTCCTTCTGTCCGCTTGATCTGCTTATAACGACCAGCTTTCTTCGCCAGGGCATAAGCATCAGATCCATCAGGAAGAAGGCAAGGGTCATCTCCATGAATGATGTAGTCAATTTGGTATTCATTAAACAGCTTATTCATGAATTCCTCTGTAATTGCATAAGGAGCATCAGAGATAACCTCATCAACCCATTTCACAGCATTCACCATTATCATCCTGAAAAGCCATACTAAAAAATGTCAGCATATATTTGAACATTGCTCATAATCAGTGTTCGCAAAATCGAACGGGAACAGTTAACCGGACATGGGCCTGGAAGCGGTTTAACCGGCCTAACCGGTAAACCGGCCAATTCAACCATTCTAACCGGGCAAGTCCCGGGCAGTCAAAAAAGTGCTGAAAAAATCCAAAAGATATATAAAAAAAAAAATCTACTAAAATATGAAAAACATATAAAGAATGATTAAAACCAAACACATTCAAATGAAGTTGAAAATTTATGAAAAAAATAGATTTTAATTAATCGATTTTTGAATTAAAGCGAGTATTAATGACAAAAAAAAAATTTAATCTATACCATAATGTAAATAATTTTAAAAATTACTTATTTTTAGAAATTTATATACATCTTTTTGAATTTTTTTTTAAATACCGATGGATCACCAAAACCGCCCAAAATCAGAAGAGGCCACTGGCCGGTTCCGATCGAACCGGGTGGTTAGCAGTTAGATCGCCTGGTTTTTCTAAGAATGCTCATAATGGACACTTCAAAAAAAAATGCACTAATAATTGCCATATATTTACTGAAGCTTCCAAAATTTTAATGGATGCATACAAAATCAACATGCACAAACCTCCAAGGGAGTGGACATACATTAGCAGAAAAGAGAGAAGAGATGCACAAGAGACTGCAGATAAAGAAATTTGTCAAGGAGGCTTTTTTTTTTTTTTTTTAAAATTCAGAAGAAGGCTCTCAATTTCACAGCGAGAAAATAACTTTTAAATAGCATATGAATGCGTAGATCATATTGCTCCAATTTTATTTGTTGTGTTTTCTCTGTTGCCAAAGCACACATATTTGAATATTTTATCCTTGTTTAAGTTCTTCGCTTATTCAAATTTTCATCACTCATTTTGTTGAAACCTTTCACAGTGTCAACCAAAATCTCTATGAATAAACAGCATCAGAGGACACATTTTCCTCAATTTATTGAATAGTATTTTTTTTTCTTGACATTCACCAATTTCCTTATTCCCCATTTATTAGTTGCATGATGCGTTGATTTCAGATCCTTGTAAGCTAAAAATAATACGATAAACAATTTTCAGTTGGAATAAGTATCTCAATTCAGATTGATGTTTCTAACATTAAGGAATAGGATGAATAAAACGAAAGCTAGTAAGGTCCATCTATCTATTGTTTTACCTGTTTCCTCCTCTTTGAGAGCCATGCCAAAAACAATAATATACGGTATGCATTTTACTGTTTATATAAGCTACAAGGAATACAAAGATCCTCCAATTTGTTCAGCAAGAATGCAGTAGTTAATCCATTTTCCAATTCATTCTAATGTTGAGAAAAACCATTGAATTGACAACAACCACTAATAATAATAATAAAGGTAACACCAACCTCAAAAATACATTTGACTGAAACATAGAGCATCAAGTTACGATCAAACAATTTTATTGAACCATTTAGACAATAATATAATAGTAGCAGTTGTAGTAACAACAACAGTGACGATGATGATGATGCTGTCGATGATGACACAAAAAAGAAAAAAAAACATACATGAATGAAATATAAATAAAAGACAACAGTCAATTAACAATCTATAATTTTAGTGAAGCATCAAAGACAACAAGAAAAGTAATAAAAAAACACAAAAACTACATCTGAAATTAATATATATAAAGGAGCATCAATTAACATTCAGCAATTTTACCGAACCAATTGGGGGAAAAAACAAAAGAGAACTGAATCACCCACCTCTCGTGAAGAGGAGTGACAGGAGGGCCCTTGTTCACGATGATCTCTGCATCGCTGACCACACCCACGACAAGCTGGTCCCCTAGGGCACGGGCCTGGCGCAGAGCATTGCAATGGCCGTAATGCATCATATCAAAGCATCCATCCATGTAAACCCTGATTGGCCCCTTCTTCTTTCTCTTTCCAAAAGAGAAGACATGCGAAGCAGAGGGGAAGCCGAAGTAGAAGCCAAGAAGAGAGGCGCTCAAAAGACAGCCACCGATGAACCAGGTGAGCGCAAGCTTTGAGCTCAGGATATGGTTGTCCATGGTTCCACCATCCATGGCCATGGAAATTGCGGGAACCCACAATAAATGAAATGACCCGCTGTGTTCTCTCAAAATGGGGATTGATTGCTTATGGTGGGTTCATTTGGGCTTGATTTAGAGTTTGAGATGTCATCAGGGTGTCTGGATCTTTCCTTCGCTGGCGCGTCACTTGAAGAAGGAGGTGGCATGAATGGCGGCAATGGTGCCCCTCCTGTCCATGCAAACGCTTTTGTTTTATTATCAGTTGATTGTAAGATCCCGCGGGATCATGTTTGTACATTTACTCCACGGTTAACGCGTCGAATATTGTCCGGAAGCCAGTATTGGGCTTCAATCCACTTGTATTTGGTAAGATGCACTTCGAAATCTCATTACAAGGTATATTTTAGGCATCGAACTCTTATGTTCGCCTATTTTTCACCTCTATTGTAAAATTGAAAGCTCCAAATAACACATATCTATCAAATCTATTAATACTTAATTTTATAATTGACGGTCTAGATAATGTGTTACAAGATGTACTATTATTAATATTTAAAATTCGATATTTCTTTCGTATTCAAACATATCGAAGTGAAGATGAACAATTGGAGGGTTTACTAGTGACAAAACAGCCTTTTCTAATGAGTTTTGAAGAAGTATGGAAGAATAGAGTCTTTGTCATCGGCAACCATTTTATGCAAAGTCTTCTACGTGCTCCCCATGACTGGCGCATGAGGGTCCTGAAAGAAATTTCCCCATGGATGGGATGTTCGATCAGGAAGCCCCTCTTCAGTTCATTCGTGACGAGGGCCTCCATAGTTTTGGCCTGAAGTTTGCTACTGATAGGTTTCCCGTTTATACCTTATATAAACTTTTTCTAAAAATAATAATAATAATCTTGCATGCTTCAAACACTTGTAAACTTAACTTTGATGGTTGCTCCTTTGGAAATCCAAAAACGGTGGGTTTTGGGATCCCGCCTCCTTCAAACACTTGTAAACTTAACTTTGATGGTTGCTCCTTTAGAAATCCAGGAACAGTGGGTTTTGGGAGGCTTAGCAAATATCATATTGGGAAAATCCTATTGTCTTACTCTTGTCCCTGAGGTAATACGACAGTTAATGAAGCAAAAGCTGGAGGTCTATTGGAGGGAATTAAATTGCTTTAAAAAATTAATAAAATAATGGTTATTGAAAGGGATTCGACAAATATTATAGCATGGTGTAAAACAGAAGTGAGAGTTCTTTGGAGACTCTTTGCCATTTTTCATGAAATTTGTGACATTCTTCAGTAACTTGCGATTGAAATACTCCATTGTTATCATGAAGCAAATATTGAAGGTGATTCTTTACCCAAGTGAGGTGTCTGTCAATCCTCATTGGTGATTACCAATTTCGTGTGATGTATATGTATTTCGTTCCCCTTGTAACTTCACAAGTTTATAGTTAATAAAAGTCATGTGTTAATGTTAAAAAAAAAAAAAACAATAATCATTTATCAGAAAATAATGTCTCGAAGATTAAGCAATAGATATTGGGAATCCAAAATAATTTTAGGAAAAATTATCAAATTATCTAGATCAACAAATTAATATTATATATATATATATATATATATATATTTCTATTTAATTTTGAAATAACCATAAAACAGTTAGCACACGGTTTTGAGTTAAGTTTGAACAGTTATAAAAAGGGTAAATTCTTAAATAGTTAATCTCTTATAGGTATTTTGATAAAATTTTCATTATAAATACTCATAACGATTAAGTTCAACTAAAAAATTAAGATTAAATAAATCCTCCTAATCAATATTGCAAAATTTTGCTTCACTTCAGTTGAGATGGTGAAAGTCTTTAGCTTCAAACTCTAAATCAAGGTGAAGAAAATAAGTCTACACAAGTAAGACTTTAAGGGTTCATTTGACTCCTTGCCAGATTTTGAATCAAAACCTTGATTTTGTGAAATGTAGTTACTCAAAAAACCTCTTCAACCTAGCAAACAACCTTAAACAAAAGATAAAAATTGAAAATTCAATCAAACTTTCTACATGCGTGAATAGATGATGTCAATTGAACAGAGCCAATTGAATAAAGTCCTTGAATTTTAGATGTTGAGTTTCGAGTACTTAAGAACTCAAAATCAAAATTCACAGTTCTTTGAAGATAATCATCTGCTAATTAGTATTGTGTTCCAATATCTAAAACTGAAAGACTCGTCCCTATGTAGCTAATTCACCCAAAGGTGTCGCGACAAAATTAGAGCATTCAAATAAAAATGAGCTGGTGGAGAGAAAGTCCTAGGGGTAGAGGGACTACGGGAATTTAATACAACTCACTTTTGATTCAACTCAACCTATTACCTTATGTAATAAAATACTTTTATTGATTTACATATAATATGAAATTTAATTAGAGAAAAAAAAGAAAAAAAGAGGCTATCCTTTTGATAAGGAAAATGTTTATATAAGGTGTCAACCCCTACAATAAGTAGAGTACACCTCACAGCCCCAAGGGGAAGATGTTGCCCCAATGCTTGACAACCCTCGGATTGATCATCTCCATGTTGACCTGCATGGATACGAAGAAAGAAAAGATTTTCAAGTCCTAAAGATCGTTTATCATTATTTGGACCATCTAATTACAATATTTTTGAATGCTTATTGATCTGCCCAATTGAGACAACTTCAAGTTTTATAATTAGACCGGGATAGAGATTTTTAGGTCATCGTAAGATTTCCTACACCAAACTGCATTTTCCGCCATAATTTAAGAGCGTGCATTTAATTGTTTAAAATTCGCACTTTATACAAACCTCAATCTTCTATTAAATACATGCCTTATTTTTAGAAACTTAATCCCCAATCTCAAATTTTAATTTAATTAGAAACCTAATCCCCAATCTAACATTCAAGGGCTTAATGTGACACAAATATATATGTTTAATCGTCGTTTAAGTTTTAATCGCAGTAATCGACACATCCATTGCATGTACTTATTGCTAGTGAGATTGTGCATAACTCTCTCACTAACAACCAAAATTTTGAGCCCACGTGGGCGCTTGCAACTGAAATTCTAGACTCGTGCCCTTAGAATTATGTCTTTTAAGAGAGAGATAAATTTAACAAAGAAAAAGAGGGACTCGCGTTTTCTCTCATAAGAGAGACGGGGCCTACAAGTTGTTTATCACGAATATTAAGATCATTTACTATAAAAAATAGGGAAAATATCTCCCTATTCCGTATTTTTTACTTCTATATCTCATGAGACCCAAGGATTGAAAATATTATTTGTAAGCAAAAGGCTTCCATATTTTCTATTTTACAACCCCCTGAACCCCTTTGAAAATGAATGTTTTACCTAAATAAATACTAAAATGACACTTTCTTCAAAAAAAATTATTTTTTTGTTAACGTTCTCTCTCTCTCTCTCTCTCTCAACTTCATCTCTCTCTTTAAAACCCAAAGTAGCAGAGAAGTTCCCCTCTTTATATCATCTCTCTCCTATCTCTCTCTAAAAATTATCTCCCCTCTTTAGAGAGAGATGGAGATGGAAAGACACTAAAGCTATGCGAAAAAGAGATAAAGAAGAAGAAAATATGCATCTCTTCATCTGTGTTGAAAATGTCTACTTTGATTAGAGGGAGAAGCTACAGAGATTGTTGAGAGAGGATTTGGATGGCGTGAGGATCATCAGCACTTAGTTATTGTAGGTGAAAAAGGCATGGGTAAGCTCGAGCTTTATCCCCCTTTGAAGAAGAAGAGAGAAGGGCCTTCAATCCTTCCACTGTCTCAACAATATATTCCGCCATTAGAGGTGTGCAAGAGAGAGATAGTAGCGCCTTGATGCTACTTTGCTTGTTTGAACTTAGCAGCGATAGATAGATACAGGGGAAAGGGTGCCAAAAATGGAGAGAGAGCGAGAGAGCAACATACACCAAAACAAAAATGATATTCTACTACAACAGAAGTACAATGTTCATTTACTCCCTCAGATAAACCCCCTTTACTCCCTCTGTCAAGAGACTTACCCAGTTGCAGAGAAGTTTGCCCTCTACATCATCTTTCTCTCCTCTCTCTTTAAAAAGGGGAGATAATTTTTAGAAAGGGAGAGAGGAGAGAGAGACGATGTAGAGAGGGGAACTTATCTGCAACTTTGAGTTTTATAGAGAGAGAGAGAGAGAGATGGAGTTGAGAGAGAGAGAATGTTAACGGAAAATAATTTTTTTTAGAGATAGTATCATTTTAGTGTTTATTTGGATAAAAAATTCATAGTCAAAGAAGTCTAAAGGATTGTAAGATAGAGAAGATGGAGACCTTTTGCTTACAAGTAATATTTTCAATATTTGGGTCTCATGAGATATAGAAGTAAAAAATAGGGGATAAGAAAATATTTTCCTTAAAAAATAAACCAGAAGACCGTTGCATTGTGATTTAGTGTGAGAGAGAGGGGGATGGGAGGTTCCAATCTGGTGTTATGGCGGCTCTCTCTCTCTATCTATACCTTGGCCATGGTGGTTTCTTCTCTCCCCTGCTCTTAGATTTATCTCCTCTTCTCCATGTCCTTCTCCTTGCCTCTTAGATTCTCCTCTCGTCCTCTTCCTTTACTCCCCCTCTTTCTTCTTTTGTTCTTCCTTGCTCCTCTTGGTTGTGATGGGGAGATGTTGCTGGAACTCTTTTCTTCATTAACCCTGCTCTAGCCATGGGTCTTGGTCGTCAGCTGGAGGGAGTCATAAGGTGAGCAGCATTAATGGGTCTTGGCACTCGTTGTCGAGCTTGTCGTTGACAAACCTTCCTGTTGGAGCTCTTGGTCTGTTTAGATATTCTGAGGGCACTTGGTCTGCTCTTATTCCCATTCCTTTTTCGAACTGGAAATAAGTTTATTTCGATCTGAGCCCTCATGTGTTTGCAAGCCACTTAGATTCCATTCCTTTTGGGGATGCCTCAGTATTTCTCAGTGCTAATGTAATAAAGGTTGATGATTTCGTCACTTCAAAGTGGTCGGACCACTTGAACAAAGCTTTGGTCTGTTCTTTTAGCCCACCGGTGGAGGAACCCAGCATGATTCAAGACTGAGCTATCTGAACGTGCGACTGCTCTTTATCATGTAGAATGATTTCAAACCATAGGGTCTTGTCACGATTTGATAATGATGCTGATGTTGCTCGTGTTCTTAAGCAACACTTATGGAGGTTCGAAGGGGTGTTGATGACGGTTGAGAGATGGTCCATCACGAACAATTGTTCATTGATCAAGAAACTGACTATTTGGATTAAGGTTCTTGATATCCCTATGCGCGCATGGACTAAAGGGGTCTTCAATGCAGGAGCATAAGATGCCTATAACCCGGGACCGAGCGGCAAATATGTTGGCTGGCATGCGGCTAAAGTTCAAAGGGGAGGTCTGGTTAGTTGAAGAAGCGGATGCCCTGAACCCACCATCACGCAAGTCCCGCCTCCAACGTGAAGTTTAGGAGCTCCTCGCAGCACTCCCTTGCAATCCTCTTGCCCCTGGTCTCATGGGGGGCACATGGTTTTCGCCCATAATGATAGTGTTGTCTTGAAAAATCTGGGGTCTTGGAGACATCATAAGAAGAGGGGTGCTTAAACATTTGGTGTCAAAATTTAGGCTTAACATCATTGTTTTGCAGGAAACAAAGCTAATCTCCTTGGACGTGGTGTTCATCAGATCTTTTTGGGGCTTAGGCCCTTTGGACTTTTATTTTGTACCTTTCTGTGGCCTCTCGGGTGGCCTTCCTACTGTTTGAGACCCCACTGTCTTAATTAGGTGTGTTTTGTATGCTTCTTTTTGCTATCTGTCTATAAATTTTACTAGACATGGGTCCTTTATATGGTGGTTATCTAATGTTTATGGATCGATTGTGGTGGGGAAAAAGAGGCTTTTCACGGGGGCCTCTCCCAGATTATCTCTTCATGTGGTTTGCCTTGACGTGGTGCTGGGGACTTTAACCTGGTCAAAATACCAGATGAGGTATCTTCGACTCTCCCCATCACTCCTCAAATGACCTTATTTGATAATTTAATTACGAGTAATGAGTTACTCCATTACTTTATTGTGGGAGCAACATTTACATGGTCTAACAATTCAATGTTGCATCCAAAACTCTCCAAGCCTATTGATTCCTAATGTCTCCTAGTTGAGAGTTTGTCTTCCCCATGTTTCTGGTGAAGGTTGCTCCTCAAGTAGCCTCTAACTATGTGCCCATACTTTTAGACACTGACGGAGAGACCTTTGGCAAGCCACCTGTCCACTTTGAACTGATGTGGCTTGAAGAGAAGTCCCTTCCCAAGCTGGTTTTTTATGCTTGGAAGGGTTGCCTTGTGGTAGGGCGGTCGGGTTTTGGGATCACTATGAAACTCAAATTCATTAAGAAGAAGTTGATCGATTAGGGTAGGGTAAAATTGGGCAATGTCTCCCACAATATCAATATCATAGCATCAGATATTGACACTATCAACATCTTTGAGCAACTCAATGGGGGGTCACATGGATGAACTTAATTTTTGAAAACAAAATTGGATGACCTTCTCAAGAAGAAAGAGATCTTTTAATTCCAAAGGTCACATTCCAAATGGGTTAAAGATAGAGATAACAATTTTAAGTATTTTCATACACTCGCCAATTCTAGATATCGTATTAATAGCCTCAGTGCTATTGAAATTCTTGGTGTCAATCAGGATGATGATGACCTCATGAATGCTGCTATTCTCTCGTATTTTCATAATGCTTTTATGTCCGAACCCATAATGACTTTTGATTTGTCGCAGGTTCCTTTTAAGGTATTAAGTTCTGAAACCTTGGCAAGTTTAGAGGTTCTTTTTTTGGAGGATAAGGTTAAAACGGCTATTTTTTACCTCCCGAGGGACAAGGCGCCATGTCCTTATGGCTTCCCTATTTTTTTCTTCCAAGATTTTTGAGAAGTAGTCAATGAAGATATTATCATTTGGGACCAGGATGGAATTGTCTACAAAGCGATGAATTCCACTCTCTCTCATGCCAAAAAAGTTTTCTATTATATCTCTTCAAGATATCAAACCCATTAGTCTTCTCTCGGCTTGCTACAAGATTCTGTCTAAGATGCTAGCCAATAGACTATGTGTGGTCCTAATGAAGTGGTTGAAGGGCCTCAAATTGCTTTAATTAAGGACATATTTATTATGGATGGCATGCTCCTTTGCCCAAGAGACCATTCATTCTACATCGTCCTCGTCTTCTAAAGGTTTTCTCTTGAAACTAGTCATCGAAAAAACCTATGACATGGTTGAGTGGGAGTTTATGGATTCTATTTTGGAACTCATAGGGTTTGGCATTCGGTAGAGAAAGTGGATGATTGGTTATCTCTCTTCGGCACATTTTTCAACCCTAGTAAAAAATAAAGCGTATGGTTTATTTAAAGCCTCTCGTGGATTGCGTCAAGGTGATTTGTTGTCCCCTTCATATTCACGCTCATGACTGAGGCCTTTAGCAATATGCTCAAAGGGACGGTGGATTCTAATTTAATCCAGGACGGTGGTTTAAGGGCGTGGCTGAATGGTTTGCAATTAAGTAATCTTCAATATACGGACGACACCTTGATGTTGCTCGAAGGTTCCACAGAGAGTGTTCAAAATGTATGGCTCTTCTTTAGGATTTACAAACTCGCTTCGGGAGTACGTATTAATATGGCTAAATCTCGGATAGTTGGTATTAATTGTGATGCTTTGGAAGTCTTAGAGTGGGCTGCTTAGCTGAACTGCGAGGTAGATCACTTCCCTACCAAGTATTTGGGCATGCCACTCATTGATGGACGTGCTCCTTCTTAAGTTTTGCTGGTCACATGATCCTAGTTAAAGCTACATTCTCTAACCTCTCGATCTATTTATCTGTCCTTGTTTTAGGCCCCCTAGTGTGGTGATTAAAAAGATTGAACAAATGATGCGAAATTTCATATAGAGCGGCACACGGCAAAAGAATAAATTACATCTCATCGTATGGGATTTCGTCTGCCTTCCTTGCAAGGAGGCAAGCTTGGGAATTCACAGATTAAAGACAGTTAATGAAGCTCTTTTGACCAAATGGTGGTGGAGCCCATCCACTCAGCAGAATCAGCTTTGGGCTAAGTTTAATTTAGGGAAGTATGGACGATACCCTAATGGGTTCATTACCAGATGTTGTTATAGACCTGCATCACTTTCACCAATCTGGCGTGGCATTAGTCAGGTTTGCAATTTTTTTTTATCTTATACTAGGATGCTAGTGGGATATGGGAGAGGCACTAGATTCTAGTACACCAAATGACTTGGGGATTATCCCTTGGAATTACTCTACCCATGTTTATTCCAAATCTGTTCAGAAACATGAGTTGGCAGACAACCATACTTCTCTATTGTCTTCCTTGTATAATTTCTGTTATTTGCATAGAAAGCCTGATAGGATTATCTAATATTTGGAACCAGGTGGCTCTTTCTATGCTAGGTCTCTGTACGAGGTGTCGTTCGAGGATCGGTTCATTCAGAGCCACAACCACTTTGCAAAGTTATAGAGATTCAAAGCACCAAGTAAGGTGAAATCTTTCCTGGGCTTGCTTGGTTATAAACAACTGCTCACAGGTGACAAATTCAGATCGGGGTTATGCTTGCCGAACGTGTGTCGACTTTGTAACAATGCAAAAGAATCAATTGACCGCTTCTTGCGATGCCCTTTTGCGAAAGGGATTTGGGATTGGCTTAGCGTTATCTTGTGTTGGTTGACACCCATCCCGAAGGTGACTGAGGCCTTTAGCAAGATGCTCCAAGGGACGATGGATTCTAATTTAATCCACGGTTTAAGGGCGTGGCCAAATGGTTTGGAATTAAGTAATCTTTAGTATGCGGACGACACCGTGATGCTGCTTGAAGGTTCCATGGAGAGTGTTCAAAATGTATGGCTAAAAATGAACTTTTTCTCTTGGTGGGTATTTGCATATAAAGTGTGTTTTTTTTGAAAAAAAATGAGAGAAAAACTTAAGTTGGGAGCAAGTTGCATAGAAAGTGTGGTTTTTATTTTATTTTTTTAAGTTGAAAGCAAGTTGCATAGAAAGTGTGGTCTAGGTTTTTTTTTTACCTAAGTTTCAAGCGAGAAATATTGTTAGGACCTCGAATTTTAAATGCGCCCTATCGAGCGTGGTGATCAACTTAAAAAAATAACGACTTGCGATTTCCCCGTTTTATTGATATTTCCCCTTATCACAAGGGCCCACCTATTTGACCTTTGTTTCTCTGTCGTTCGGTGTTAATATTTTTAGCCTTTGATCGATTGGTCGCCGCGAAAGCCTTCATATTTTCTGCTCGTTTTTTCCCGGGATCTCAAATTTCTCATTTTCTCTCTCCGAAACTATGATGCCTGTGATCCGAAACACCTCACTTTCTCTCTCCAAAACTCCGCTGTCACTGTTATGAGATTTGTCATTTTCTTCTTTCTGAAACTTACTCCTTTTGTATATTAGGGTTTGGAGCTTGGCTCCATGGCTTCCACTGCGGGTTTGGTGCCCATAACGAGGGCCATCTTGTCCCGATATTACGATAATCACCATTTCAACCCCCTCTCAGAAGATGTCCCTCGCCTGTCCGATGAGCTCCGGGAATTCTCGAAAGCATTGCAGGAGGAAGTGCCCCCTATTGCAGGTAGGAATTGGATTGATCTCTTATAACTTTTTTCCGCTCGTTTATTTTCCATAATCTATATCACTATTTTACCTATCCACTTACAGTTTGTGATTTTTTGTTCGGGTTAGACAATTACAGTATTGGGTTTTACTGCTAGTTTGTGAACATCAAAATTAATTAGTTTGGGTTCGAAATTTATAGTATTGGTGTAATGCTTATTCGTCAAACTAATTGCAAGGGTCGATAGAGTTTCATGAATTATCCATTGCTGTTGATTTTTTTTTTTTGGTTAATTAGGGAGTTTGGTCATTCAATGTCTATTTAATTTTGTTTCCTGAATTGTGAATCTGTGAACATCACAATCAAATTGTTTTGAGTTCAAAATACATAGTATTCATATTCGATACTGTTGTGATGCATAATTGTGAAACTCATGCATTGCCGATTACATTTTCTTTCTGCGTTAATTGGGTATGTCAGTTAGTCAATGTCTATTTACTGTCATTTTCTGGATGGAAAGGTTGTGAACATCACAATTAATTTCATTTGGTTTCTGGATGGAAAGGTTGTGAACATCACAATTAATTTCATTTGGTTAAAAGTTACAGTATTGGCTGCTATCTTCGATGCATATTCTGAAACCAATTGCTAGGGCTGATGGGAATTTCATTAATTTCCCCTTGTTTGTTTTTCTTTTCGCTTAGATGGGTATATTAGTTATTCAAGTTTTATTTAATTTTGTTATGGTCTATACTGGCTGGAGAATAAGTATGGTTCAAGTTTATCATTTTTTAGCCAACCTCAGTATTGAAGGGGAATTCTTATAATGAAATTTTCTATTGAGGTGTATTGATAAAAAGAGATGGCTTGGGAATGAGGCTAGACATGCTTAACCATATCGAAGGCATAATTCTTTGCCACAAAGTTTTTATCTGTTTTGGGAAATTTATCCCACTACATTATTAACCATCACAAAAACTTTTCCACTTCAAAGATCTATCAGCGGATCATAATGTCACGTGACTAATGTTACATTCTGGTGATTTCCAGCCATATAATCGTGAACTAGTTTGCTATTGCTGAGTGCAAGTAATTGTTATGCACCCAAATTACCATCCTGGAAATGTTTATTTGTGTATTTTATGTTCCACATTTATTAATTTATGAATATTGATCTGTTTGCTCATCAACCCATGTTTCCTTTACCCAGCACCTTGCCTCTTCTTGTACCAGTAATGATAAATGCAGTTCCAGATCATTTGCACACACACAAGTAATTATGAGTTATAAGAAGTTTACTACCTAAATATTTATTGATTTATTTTTTTTGTGGATTTCCCTTTTACCATATTTCTCTCAATTGGTGGTTGTTTGCTCAAGGTGAGGCAATTTTGGCACAAGAAGCAGAATCAACTTCTCCCCATAAAATTGATGAGAACTTGTGGAAGAATAGGGAACACATTGAAGAGATACTGTTTCTACTCGAGAAATCTCACTGGCCAACACAGGTGCTATTTGTGTTCTTCACTTCATAACACACTTGAAATTTTGTTGAGCAGCTTGCGAGCCTCTCATTGGGGCGTTTGGTTTTAATGGCGATGGCATGTTTGCTTGACCTATTGCATTGGATTATTCAGTGATCTGATTTATGAAATATGTTGCAATTCATATTTTGGAGATTTTGCTCTTTGGGGCCTCAACTGTCAAACAAATTTGCTCAGGCTCCCTTGTTAAACGCCAAATTTTGTGAATGCAGCTTCAGCAGCATTCATCACCTGAAGATGTGGAGCTTGCTGCCACTCTGCAAAAGCTTGAGGTTAAAATGCGAAATATTTTGAAGACTTTGGAGTCGTTCCAATCCAAGAACACCGAAAATGTGTTTAACATTGGTTAGTTCTAAAGCAATAATTTTTTCCTAATTACTAACAGATATTTTTTGTAATTGTCATTAGTAATTTTGTGGATATTTAATTCGTATAACATGCCATTGCTTTGTTATGAGGATGCTTCTACTTTTTTGTTCGATGATTTTTTGACGGATTTCCTTTCTTAATGCCCATTATTCCTATATCAGAACCCGAGGTTTTGTAGAAAGTGCTATCCTCTATATCTGAAGAGAGGAACTTGTATTTTAATGAGCACTCAAGCCAACCTTTGAGACCGAGAACATGAAAAATATGGGAAACTCGTGGTATATATTGTTTTATCAAGGAGGGTGACATTGAGTTGTTCTTTTGTTTACCAGACTAGAAAATGGTTGTTGATGGTAAACTTTGTTAAGGTTGTGGTCACAAGTTGCCTCAATCGATTGGCCCAATGTTCTATGGAGGCTTGTAAATTCCTCAATATGAACTCCACCAAACTATGCGCTCATGTGTGCTGGGGGTAGAAGTTAGGGCTAATTTCATCATTGATGAAAGTGTTGTTATTGTTTTAATTTTAGCTTCCCTGCTGCAAGGACGTGATTGCATGCTTTCATATGTGTCATAAAATAAAAGTTCTATTGTTTATGAATCTTGTTTTGTCTAAAGATAGGCCTTCATGCATTTCCACTACAAAAACTCGAACAATGAATCTCCTTTGTCCTTATGAATTTCCACTAAAGATGGGCTTTCATGCATTTCTCCTTATGAATCTCCTTTTGTCTAAACTTATTTTGATCATGTCATGTCTCTATATATGTGCTTACAGATCAGCACAAAACTTGAACTCAGTAATCGACTCGGTCACTGCCAGAACCGAATCAACTTATTGAGTCTAACAATGAACAAATAAAGTCTAGTTTTCACATGTATGATTTCTTTTTCAATGTGAAGTGGTTGTAAAGGGATTCAAATCAAGGTTGCCACCAAGTCAAACATCATTCTTACCACATTAGAGAACACCAATTATGGGTTTAAGCTACACAAAAATTAATTATACCGAACTTCTGGCACCCCCCAAACTTTTCATTTATAGAACTCAGCAACTATGCTAGTCAGGTTGACACTGTGAGTTTTTCTAAGTTGAAAACGAGTTTCATTCGTTGCTTCAGGCTACTGTTAATAGACTGCCAGGGCTCTTGATCAGGACATATGTGAATATATTTGCAGTTATGACATACATGCCTCAAGATTTCAGAGGTACCCTCATTAAGCAACAACGTGAGCGTTCAGAGAGAAATAAGCAAGCTGAGATTGAAGCTCTAGTTAATTCTGGTGGTAGTATACGCGATCGATATGCTTTATTGTGGAATCAACAAATGGAAAGGTGCATGTCTTGGTTTTCCCCCATCCTATCACTGCACCCTTTTGATAAGGTTGGAATGTTAAAAGTTTATCATAAGCACCGGTTCTTTCAGGCGGAGACAATTAGCGCAGCTCGGATCAGCATCAGGTGTCTATAAGACGCTTGTAAAGTATCTTGTTGGAGTGCCACAGGTATTTTTTGTATTTAATGGAAATTTTACATGTTTTGTCTAGGTTTTAGCCTTGAATATTATATATTTATGTTTACTTTATGCTTCCACTGTTCTATTGCTCCCATTGTAGAATATGAACCATATGTTTGCCAAAAAAATAATATACTCTTTGGTTCTGGTGTATGATGCAGTGTTAATGCTTGAGTTTGCCTAGCTAATCTGATATTGGCATCTAGGAGCAGTGTTGCCATAAGAGAGTGCTGCAATGCTGCCCTCTCTCATGGAACACTTTCTAATTCATTTTGCCAAGTGCATTTCCGAGTCTTCTTGTGATGAATCATGAGCAGAGATCCATGCATTTGGTTTTTGTTATCTTAATAAATAGAGAGCAAAATTTGCAAGCTGTAAACGATATTCTTTATTGCGATTCATAGGATCGGTAATGGCCTGTTGTGCAATATAAGCAAACATATTGACTAGGCGTTGTCATCACCACAAGGTGAATATCGTTGCTGTCCTCATTTAGTTTGGTGGAAAACGTCAAAACCAATTGAAGATCTTTCTTCTCTTATTTCGCAACTACTTGCAATCTACTATGCTTTTGATTACTGCTTCATTAGAAGTATATATCAGTGATCATTTCTGTTTACAGAAGAGGAATCACTAAAATATGGCAAAGAATTGTGCTTGTATTTAAGAGGTTTCCGCTTTAGATTGATTTTGAGGGCATGTGTGCAGCGTTCACCCTAGAATTTGCAGCGTTCTTATGTATCTGAATAGATGGCTCGGAGGTTGTTTATAACTGGAGAGATACAAATTGTCATATGAGAGGTATCTTTAATGGAATCAGTGGTTGGTCAGAGTAACTGAGTAAGAAACCCCATATATGAGGGTCTAAAGACTCTAAACTTGTGGAGGACTTGTTATGTTCCTCAGAAATTCGCAAACACTATGTAGCATGTTTCACCATTAACTCATTTTAATGATGCAACCAAACAACATGAAAGGTTCAGGCTTATCATGGTGACGTATGTTCCAAGTGAAAGAGAAGGGGCGTGCATCATGAAGAAACAAATTTCGATTACCCTGTGCATACGCTTGATCTATGAACGTTTGACATTATTGCGTTTTTTTTTTTTGTTTGAAGTTATGGGGATAATCTAGGGCTAACATTAACTAGAAACGAGGAAATAGTTATGATTGATGGTCAAGAAATATGTAAAAGTGATTGTTTCCGATATCTAGGGTTGATAATTCATGAGAATGGAGAGATTGAGGAAGAAGTTGCGTATAAAATTAGAGCTGGATGGGCAAAATGGAAATGTACATCAGGAGTTTTATGTGATCGCTGCATACTATTAAGACTGAAGAGAAGTTACATAAGATGGTTATGAGACCAGCATGCTTTATGAGACATAATGTTAGGCGGTCAAGAAATAACATATCTATGGGATAAGAGCTGCTGAGATGAGGGTGTTGAGATTGATGAGTGGCAAGACAAGAAAGGATAGAATTCAGAATGAATACATATGAGGGAACTTAGGTGTGGCTTCAATAGCCGATAAGATAAGGGAAAGTAGACTTAAGTGGATAACCATGTGCAGTGTAAACCTAATGCAACATGGATTAGGAGATGCAATTTGGTTCAAGTAGAAAGCTCTAAAAGGGCAAGGGAAATGCCCAAAAAGACATGGATAGAAGTAATAAGAAAATATATGGTAACTTTTGGTCTTACTGAGGGTTTGACCCATGATAGAGAAGAATAGAGGAACAAGATTCATGTAGCCAACCCCAAATAATTGGGATAAGGCTTGGATGATGCTGTTGATGATGAAATTATGGTGATGGATATAATTGGAACTCTAAAACATTCAGTTGCATCTCAATTATAAAAAAAGAAAAAGAAAAAAAAGAGAAAGTCGTATGTAAATATCTCAGTATTGACTCCATTATTTGCTTGATACATGAAATTGCCATTGTGTTTTTTTGCTCTAAATGAAAAGAATCATCTAACGTACATGGAGAAAGTCTTGTGATGTAAAAGATGCATTTTTCTTTGGTTTTAAATATTTTGTTACTAGTTTGACAGTGCTATCCTCCATATATTGTCCATGTATTTGTCTGCTCACAAAATCAAGATTAATTATAGTGAGCACTGAATATTCAGGGCTTGTCCATACTTTGATTATCATTTTTTGGTGCAGGTCTTATTGGATTTTATACGGCAAATAAATTATGATCAGGGGTATGAATTGTCCTTGGATCAGCTCTAGAAATTTGAATTCTAGATGAATTGTGCATGTGATAGATCTGTCTCCATTATTACTTTTGTTTTCTTTGATAAATATATTTACAGCATTACATTAATAGTATCCTTTTTTTTAGGCCCATGGAAGAGCAACGACAACGTTATGGGCCACCTCTCTACAGCCTTACTAGTATGGTGCTTCTTATCCGATTGTTTTTGCTTCTGTCGTGGGGACGTTTTGTGACAATCAAATTGTGAGGATCTTTTGCCCCCCAGTTGGACATAATTGGAGCACCCTTTTGTAGCAATTTTTTCTGTCCTTTTTTTTGGTTCTTTTTCCTTTCAAATTGTTCCTTCTCATATGCATAGGACATAATAGTGCTAGTATATTGCTTGTTTCTTGTTGTTCAGACAGAAAGATAAGGTTGCTGTCTTGGAGCAGGCTGTTGATGTCTACACGTCAGAATTGGAGCACTTTCTTAATTTTATAGTGTATTTTCTTGCCCTTTTCCTGGCTTATTGCTTCTTTCTTCTTTTGTACAGTTTTTAATTCACATTCTGTACTCTTTTGTTGTTTAGTACTTATGCAACGTGGATATAAATATGTAAAGTTGTTGTTGTCTAAATGGATTTTCCTTGTTCTATATTTACGTTGACATTTTTTTTAGTGAGATGTTTCTTATGATTCATTTATTGCTGATGGATCCATGAATGGAAGAGAAAAATGATGTGAAGAAAGTGGGTAAAAGGGGTTGCATCTAAAGATCATCTCAATCATGATAGAGTACTACTACCCATTCGTCACACTTATAACCTTGTTGGAAATTAGATCCCAAATGATCTAGATCCTATCAATGGTTCTACAGGCTCCAAGGGCTAGGAATTTGCCCCCCTGATTTTTTTCCTAATCAAGGCCTCATTGACATAACGACATTTCATTTCTTTAGCCAGTGGCACTTGGTCTATAGATATCTAATCCCCTTGCTCCAATGCATGCTTTGTCTGTCTGTTCAAGCAACTGTTATTGCAATCCCTACTTTGCATATAAGCTAAGCTGCTGGAGGGAAGCTTTCTCCCTTCTGTCAAATGAATCAAAGGGCTTTGATCTTGCATGGTCTATAATGACTCTCACTTCTGCGGTTCATTTTATTCTGTTATTCATTCAAAACACCTGCTTTCATAAATGTCACTGGCATGTTTTTTATAGCAACAATTCTTTTTTTGCTTGAGAATATTTTAATCCCTAGGGTTAAAAATACAATAATCCTTTATGAATTAATGTACAACCTTGATATCAATCGTTGAATTATATTCTGTAATTATTTATAGCTAGTTTCTCATTGATTGGACTACTAATTCTTGTTTCCCCATATTATTTGTTGACTTATCACACACTTGCATCACTGATCGCACGATCACTTGACAGGGGGGTATTTGCAAATGCTCCCTTCTTTATTTCAGCAGAGGAAGCTGGTGCTGCAGAAGCAAGGCAAGTATTCTCCTTTTAATTGGTAATCAAGTTATTTTTCTTTCATGATACTACTTTGAAAGATACTACTTTCTTGATTTTCTTATTCTCAAACCAAGCAACAACTAAAAAGAAGCAATGGATACAGTAGTTATTATTATTTTTTAAATAAGAAAATGTAAACAGTGGTTGTTCCAATTTACATTTAATCATCATTAGCTAATGATAAAACATTTGATTTTGTGAGTATGCAGTATCTGAGGTATAGATATTCTCATTTCTAAAATAGTAAATGCACAAGAGTGACAGCAATATTACTTGGAAGCAATTGTTTTGAGTACTTTAAAAAACTGTTTTGAATACTTCTAATTTGGTTCACTAAGTCACCCTATAATGATATTGATCAAAGTCTGATTAGCTTCCTTATATGGGTCCAATGATTGTGTGTGGATAAAGGATAATGGAATGTGAAAAATGTCATAGAAAACAAGAGGCATGAACTTCTAATCTATGATCAGACACCTTCAGCAACTGCGTATTTTATTTCTGGATCAAACGCATATGCACACCTAGTGGTTAAATAATTTGACTTACAATGAAAAACTTAATCTTTGCTGATATTGAAGGAAGCAAAATGTGTTCTCTGGACTACATTATGGGTTTGGGTCTTGTAGCAGGTGGAGACAATAGATGAGTGTTTGTGTATGCTGTTAGCGTCTCTGTCCTAGTACATTGTACATGTAGGATTTTCTTTTTTAGCGAAGGCTTGAGGAACGGGGATGTCTTCCACTCCTGATAAAGTCGAGGCATTCAGCATGGGTGCGCAGGCCAGTAATTATAGGTTGGTTGAGGGAATGACGTTGCGTCTGGGTCGGGAAACTGGTTTGTCATTTTCAATTTTGGGAAAGTGGTTTTGTTTTAGGATTTCAGATTTTGCTGAATTGACTGAGATTGTGAAACTCTTAGTTAGAATGTTGCCTTTGGCTTTGTGAGGGGCAGTAGATGGCGAGGACTTGGGAGTCTCACGGTATGGTGACGGTGACAACTTTCTAATTCTATTCAGCAAATTAAAAATAAAAACAAAAAAATCTTGTGAAACTCATTCTGTGTTATAATTTCTTGATCAGACATCATATAAATTTCAAAATAATGTTTCATGGGTCACATTCAGATGTCGGCTTAAGATAGTTTCTGGTGAAGTCATTCTGCTTTCCTACTCGTCACATTCAGATATCTGCTTAGGACAGTTTCTGGTGAAGTCATTCTGCTTTCCTACTCTTATTATGGACATCACCTTGTTCATTCTCTAGGAAATCATTTTGTCTACTGTTTTGTCTTTACAAAGTCAATAAGGCGGATTAAAGATCCCAGCTCTCTTTTCTGTTCTAGCTGAGAAGTCATCATGCATGCCATTATACTATGTGGGGATAATTCACCTTTGGCATATATAGGTTCTCATTTATTTTTTTCTTTTTTGTTTGCAGTAGGGGTGAAGAGTACAAAGAAACATTGATTCCTGCTGGGAAAACTTATGAGGTAAGCCTTGTTAATAATGATCTTGGTATATGCTTTTTACCGCCAAAATAATAATAAAATAGGCTGTAGAGGGTAATTGGCTCCAATGCTTAAATTCCTTAACCCAACTTAGTGGGATGGTGTTTCTTTGCTGTGAGTATTTTTTGAGTTGTGCTAATAAAATAATAAGTCAGAAGTTTCACCTGGCATTTTTTGAGTTTCTCTTAGTTCTTTCTCTATGAATGTTTAAAATTTGAAGGATATCCTTTCCTTTTATGTGGTTTTCTCATTAGTGATGCCTTTGACGTGTCCTCCCTTTTTCCTCTCCAGATCTTGTTAGCAGTTGACTCTGTAAACTCTTATATTGCCTGGGACTTCTTAGTAACACAAGGGAAAATGAGTATGGTACTGGCTTCAGAATCTCAATTGAATAATTTGAATGTAGCATTATTAGTTCTTATCCATCTATTTGTAAATGTGTTGAATGTGTCATATAGATTTCTTCCTTGCTTTTAATGGTAGATGATATTTGTCTGTTGAGATGAACTTTTGTCTGAAATGGAGTTTTGAATATATCATCATCATTAGCGTCGTTGTCATCCGTGTCTTATCCCAATTTTTTGGGGTGGTTACGTAAATCCTACTCCATCATTTTGTTCTATCAAGGGGCATACTATCAGTAAGACTATATGTGATCATATCTTTTCACATTACTTCCATCCATGTCATTTTGGGCCTTCCCCTTGTATTTTTAGAGCCTTCCACTTGAACCAAATCAAGCCTCTTAACCAGTACTGTATTAGGTCGACGCTGCATATGGCCGGCTCACCTAAGTCTACTTTCCCTCATCTTATCACCTATTGAAGCCGCACATAAATTGTTTCGAATGTATTCGTTTCATGTGCAGCGTAGACACAACACAACACCTGTTAGGAGGTGCGAGCTAGTTCAAGTGGAAGGCTCAAAAAAGGGCAAGGGGTAGGCCCGAGAGAGAATAATGGTTGGAAGTAGTAAGAAAAGATATGGGAACTTATGGTCTCACTGATAGAGCACAATGGCGACCAGGTTTCATATAGTCGATCCTAAATAATTGGGAAAAGGCTATGATGATGATGATGAAGAACATATATATATATAATATATATATATATATATATAGTATATATAGAATAGTATCTGTAGAGCCGAGNGGGCTCACAAAGGAAAATAAGAGACTA